AACATTCTGAAGACTCTGCATCATCCCTCCCTTGGTATGACCGCACTCTGCATGTCCCTGAGAAGACTTGCATGGTGGTCGATCACACCGCGTGCCTGCTGCTTCTAGAATCGTCCGATGCTGCTCTTGATCTTGGCCCGTGTCGAAAGAAGTCTCCATACAACAGCTAGCATGTCCCGTTCTCAATCCCCTGAGCCGCCATAAGTTCTACCACACGCCGTGCCTGCTGCTTGTAGAATCGTCCGATGCTGCTCTTGATCTTGGCGCGTGTGGCTTCACTAAGCTCCTTGTGCCATGCGATTGCCACCCGCACATGCAGCACCGATCGCACCTTCTCATCCTGCAACACCCCCTCTTGTAACCTGCCTGCGCTCCCTGACACCCCCCCTGCTGCCCCTGCTCCTGCTGTACCGCCAGCTGTTCCTCTCTCCCCACTTGCTCCTCCGACGTCGCCTGCTGATGTTCCGCTTGCTGCTGCCCCCCCGCGTGCTGTGAGTTTGAGTGCGCCTGCAGCAGCAACTAGAGCCGAGGCGACAGCGGCTGCTCCCCTGGCAGCTGTTGCAGCAGCTTCTACTGAGGTTGAAGATGAGCAGGGCGTGTCTGCTGGGCTGCTCTCGCCACCTGCTGTGCCCGCTGCTGTGCCTGCTGCAGTGCCCGGCAGAGAGAACGTCTCCTTGGCCTGGACCTCTTGAGAGATCTCCAACTGCCAGTGTGGTTTGCGTGGACAGAAGGGGTGGGGGCAACGGACGAGCGATCTGAGCAGGTTTAGAAAGAGAAAGAGAGAATGGACAAACGAGCAGGTGCCATTTTTTAGGATTCTCGGAAACTATCTCGGGAGAAGCTCCTTGCTCCATGGCACCTGGTGAGGTGTGTTTTGAGGCGCCTCAAAAGCGCGTGTAGTGAGGTGTGTTTTGAGGCGCCTCAAAACACACCTCGCTATCTCAGGAGAAGCTCCTTGCTCCATGGCACCTGGTAAGCAGCCTGATAGTTTTTGTCAGACAACTTGATCCGTTCCACCTGACAGCAATCTGTTGTTTCACCTGAAACAGTTCTGCTGATCCCGCTGAAAGCTATCTGTTGTTTTCACCTGAAAGCTGTCGCTGAAGGGCACTCTGTGGAGAGTGAGCACTTGCTCCAAACATGCCCACTGGATTCCGCCCTCCTGGCTGCCGCCCGGGGTGCCGCCCGGGGTGCTGACTTCCTGTGTCATCTGCTGCACCGCTGTCACGGTTGGGGAGAGGACAGGGACCTGCCCAGGGGGGCGACGGGAGAGGCAGGGGGGCGATTTGTTGGTGGAAGGAGGAATCCGCTCGCTGGCCTGGCCCCTGACTGGCAGCCCATATTGTTTGACATGCAATCATGGCAGTGATTGATCGGTGGAAGGGGAATATCCATAATTTTTCCTCACCTGCCCCTGAACAGTGGCCCTCTTGTTTTCTAATGCGGACACTTGGGTGATTGGTTGGTGGAAGGGAATGCTCATGGGAGGGATGGGCGAGACAGAGACATGCGGACATGCTGACCAGTTGGACAACTGCCTTGGGCCCAAGTGAAAGAACCAATGCTGACTGCTGAGTGCTGCCAACCAACGCTGACCACCCAACACTAGCCCCGAATCTTCAAGATGGGAGAGGGGTGAGGGGGGGGGCGTTGTGGGGACAAGAGCAAAAATATGAGGTGATTCATTTCCCCTCACCTGCCGAGAGAATCGGTACTTGACGCTGCGCTGGCGCCGAAGAACACCGCCCACTCTGCCGCCCGCCGCCCGGCCCTCCAGCTGCCCCATCCCATCCCCCATACCAGCTTCCACCACCTCCCACTCGCCGATCTCCGCCCCCATCTGCCCTGCTTTTTCCATCATAGCAGCTGTGGCTGCTGGGTCTTCAAACGATGTCAGGAACTGCTGCACTGTGATGGGTACGCCTACTAGCTGCTCATCTATCACCTCCCGCATCTCCACCCCCATAAACGCCCCTCCCCCATCCTCCACTGCTATTGACTCCCTTCTTGAATCGGTCACCTCCCGATACCCTCCCATCCCTCCTCTTGCCCCCCAAGAATCGCCTCTGCTGCTGGTTACTCCTGCTGCTGCCCCAGCTCCCCCGTCCCTCCCCACATTGGCACCCTCGCCTCTCTCCCCACCAGTGCTACTTGCATCCCCCTCCTCCTTGGCGCGAGCTAGCTGCTGGTCGGTGGGGAGGTTGCGGTTGCGCCACAAGGCAAGGACGAGGCGGAAGGCCACACCCGGGCGGACAAAAGACTGGAATCGGATCTTCAGCCGCCCCTGGGAGTCCACTCCGTGCGCCGCCGCCCGGGTTTCCGCCGTCCCCTTGTCCTTTTTGACGAAGACGGTGATCGCAGGGTTCAGCATGCGCTTGAAGGTTGTCATGGACGATTTCTGGGCGGCGGCAGCCGGTGGCTTCTGGGCGGCGGAGCCCGTCTGGTTCTTGGTCGTTTGCAACCTTGTCAATGAAGGTGGGGTTGTCTGCGACTTGGCGTCTTTTTGAGAGGAGAGTGAAGGCGGGTCGAAGAGAGACGGCACGCTGTCGTCAATCTCGTCTATGTCTTCCCAGAGGAGGGTGAACTTGATGCGCGTGCCAAAGACGGAAGAGTAGAAGGCGAGGAGGCGCGGGGAGAGGAAGAGACGGCCCTGGGAGAGCAGCCCTTTCTTGAGAATGCAGGAGAAGTCGTTTATGAGGCACTCGCTCTCTGGTAGGTTGAATAGGCGCTGGAAGGCGGCGTTCTTCTGTGCTGAAAACTCCCGCACGCCGCCCTGGTGGAATGAAGGGGAGGGGAAAGGGGAGAGATGGAGTGGCGTGGTTAACTGCAATGCATGGCACGTGTGGAACGATGCGCTGGAAGGCTGTATTCCTTTGCGCTGCAAACTCCCGCATGCCCCCTTTATGAGGTGAGGTGAAGGATGGGGAAGGCAACGGGGAGGGGACATGAAGGTAAGTGAGAGGGTGTCTGGCATACACAGAAAAGATTTGAGTCGACTCAGAACTCACATGGAGGTAAGTGAGTAGGTGTCTGGCATACACAGAAAAGATTTGAGTCGACTCAAAACTCACATGGAGGTAAGTGAGTAGGTGTCTGGCATACACAGAAAAGATTTGAGTCGACTCAAAACTCACATGGAGGTAAGTGAGTAGGTGTCTGGCATACACAGAAAAGATTCGTGACAGTGGGCCGATCTGTAAGGAGGGATGTGACAGACGCAGCAGCAGCAGGACTGCTGCCTCATCCACCCGCTTGCTTCCATCCCCCTGATCCCACCTTGCCGCCCTCTCCTCACTTCCCTCAAATTGCTGCCCACTTCCTTGCTGATCTTCTGAAGCACCAGAGAGGCCGCAGCCTCCGAAGGAGCATTGCTTACCCAACACGTTCATTCGAAACACCTCAACTCCAACAAAGCTCACCTTGCCACCCTCACCTTGCTTCCCTCACGGTCTCACCTTGCTTCCCTCACGGTCCCACCTTGCTGCCCACTTCCTTGCTGATCTTCTGAAGCACCAGAGGGGCCACATCCTCTGAGGTATTGGTCAGAAGCACCCGAACACGGATCCGGGCAGCTTGAACTTTCGCCCGCCTGCCCTCCAGCGGCACCCAGAGGTCCGCCAGGTCCTGCGCTGACTGGCGGAGGAAGTTTATTTCTGCCCGGCCGAGCAGGGAAGGTTCCGAGAAGGGTCCATCGTAGTTGAAAACCTCGATCTCGAGAATGGAAGGTGCGTCCTCCATGGCGTCGAATTCGAGCACCTCTGATTGGTAGGATGGAGCAGAGGGGATGGGAGCGGGTGGTGGGAGGAAAGTTAAACTGAGTTCTCGAGGATGGAAGGGGCGTCCACCATTCCATGGCGTCGAACTCGAGCACCTGTGGTGGTGGAGGGAGGGAGGGAGACCCGGGGTTGGAGCGCAAAGTTTGACAGTATTGTGTGAATGGTCTCCATCTCGAGGATGGAAGGCGCATCCTTTAAGTCGTCGAATTCGAGCACCTCTGGTGGTGGGAGATGGGAGGAGGGGGGGAGGGTGGTGGGAGGAAAGCAGAACAGCGTTCTCTGAATGGCGGAATTCTCTGAATTCGAGCACCTCTAGTGGTGGGAGCATGGGAGAGGGCGGTGGGAGCATGGGAGAGGGCGGTGGGAGGAGGTGAAGGAAGGAGAGTGGAATAAAAAAGGGTCCATCATAGTTAAAAGACCTCAATCCCGAGAATGGAAGGGACGCCCTCCATGCGAACTGGTGGTTGAGAAGGGGAGAACTCAAGCATCTGGTGGTGTGGGTCGGGAGGTATTGCAGCGGTTCAGCTGCTGTGTCGACTCAAAAGTCACTCCGTTCCACTTCTATCACCTACCTGCTCTGCGCTCGCGCACACCTGCCCTGCACTTACCATTCCACTTGGGCATGTTGGTCTGCAGCTTGACAGAGCTGGTGCGAGTCTTGCCGCTGCAAGCAAAGACCACGAAAGGGTCTGCCTTCATCACCACACCCGCATCGCCGATGTTCTCCCCCTCCACCAGCGACACTGTCAGCAGCCACCCCTCCCCCACCGCCTTCTTCCCATGGTCGCCCTCTGTTCATACAGAGGAGTGGCAGCAGGGGGGTATGGGAGACGAGGGAGACGAGCAAGAGTAGGGAGATCGAGACAAGCGCATTGACAGGGGCTGCTTTGATGGCCTTGTGTTGTTCGCCCTTCATTGCTCTCACCTTCCACCAGCGACACCGTCAGCAGCCACCCCTCCCTCACCGCCCTCTTCCCTTGCTACCCCCACCACTCACTCGTAATGTATTTCGATACAATGATGCCTTGTGCCATGGTAACCGCGTGGTTGGTGGAAACCAGAATCACGGCAGACCATAGCAGCTCCAACAGGCTATCCGGTAGGTCTAGTAGCGGCAGCACCACCCCTGCCCCCCATCTCTCACTCGTAATGTATTTCGATACAATGATGCCTTGTGCCATGGTAACCGCGTGGTTGGTTTGGTGGCAACCAACATTACGGCACACAATAACAGCTCTAGTAAAGGCAGCACCACCCCTGCTCCCCACCACTCACTCTTGATATATTTCGATACAATGATGCCTTGTGCCATGGCAACCACGTGGTTGGTAGCAACCAGAATCACGGCACACCATAGCAGCTCCAAAAGGCTATCCGGTAGGTCTAGTAGTGGCAGCACCACCCCTGCCCCGCCGCGTGCAACCAGCACCAGGTGCGTCGGCAGCAGCACCACTGCAAGGAAAAAGACAAAGAGCGCAAGTGGGCCTGCCGCCCGGACCGCAGCCTCAGCGATTGCGGTTTTTGAGGGGTGGAGGTGGGGGGGGACGCCGAGGAGGGAGAGGAGGCGGGCGAGTGGGGAGGAGGGAGGAGGGGAAATTGAGGGCTGGGAGAGTGAGGTGGAGGGTGTGGTGGAGACGAAGGGAGGGACATGCTTTGTGAGCACCTGAGAGAGTGTTTGGGGGGGGGGAGTTAGGGGATGCAGGGGACATAGGGGAGAGGGGTTAGATGGAAAATGCAGCACAAATGGCAGACGGGAGAGATGCAGAATGTGAAAATTTCCAGAAGCAGAGCAGACTTGTGAAAGGGAAAGGAAGGTGTGGAAGAGTGAACTGGGGAAGGCCTTGCTAAAGAAGCAATGCAATGCAAGCAAGACCCCAGGGCCGTGAGAGTGACCCTAGGGTCGTGAGAGTGACCCTAGGGTCGTGAGAGTGACCCTAGGGTCGTGAGAGTGACCCTAGGGTCGTTAGAGTGACCCTAGGGTCGTTAGAGTGACCCTAGGGTCGTGAGAGTGACCCTAGGGTCGTGAGAGTGACCCTAGGGTCGTGAGAGTGACCCTAGGGTCGTGAGAGTGACCCTAGGGTCGTGAGAGTGACCCTAGGGTCGTGAGAGTGACCCTAGGGTCGTGAGAGTGACCCTAGGGTCGTGAGAGTGACCCTAGGGTCGTTAGAGTGAGCCCAAAAGGACACTCACAGAGAGGAAGGTGGCATAGGTGTCCTTGAGGCCAGTGGACATGCCATTCTCTCACTCTCAGTCATACACTTCATCATGCTCCTCTGCAGGTCATGCGGCTAACAAGTGAGACGAGATGAGGTCTGAGGTGCCTCAAAAGGACACTCACAGAGAGGAAGGTGGTGTAGGTGTCCTTGAGGCCGGTGCGCATGCCGTTCTCTATCATGCTTTTCATCATGGTGCTCTGCAGGAAATGCGGCTCATACGACACACGCAGCTGACTTTTCACCCCACCAGCCACCCCCCCCGCGGCTGACTCTCTCCCATCACCACCTCCTGCAGAAGCTGGGACTCTACCACTGCTGCTGCTGCTGCTGCTGCTGCTCTGCTCGCCTGTGGCCCCTGCTTCTCCTGCTCCTCCTACACTTTCCTCTGTAAGCGGAGTGATGCAAAACTGAAGGTGTGTTTCAAACGTGCCTCCATACGGCACGTCAGGGGTTTTTGCAGACACAGTCACCAGGAAGCCTCCTGCATCTGCCCGCACACACAGCACCTCCTCTGTTGCCTGCACTGACTTCACCAGGGAGGACGGCGCGGTCATGTACGATACATTGCGGTGCATCACAGCGTCTGCGTCTTCCGGCTGCTGCTGCTCCGCCCCTCCGCCCCCTTTGGGAGCAGCAGGGGGGGACAGGGCGGGGGGGGCCTTAATGCCCTTGTGTGCTGTGCTGCGATTGAGCCTTGCTCCAATGTGACTGCTGTCACTGCTGCTGTCATTGAAAAACCAAGGGCCAATGTTGATTTGTGTCAGCTTGCGCTCTGTTTGGAGTGAATGGAATGGAGGGAAGGGGGTTCTTAAATTCACCAGGGAGATGTGACAATGGGGAGAAAATGTAACAATGGGGAGAAATGTGACAATGGGGAGAAATGTGACAATGGGGAGAAATGTGACAATGGGGAGAGACTTGGGAAGGCAAAGCCCAGGACACACGCCTTTTCAACACACGCCTTTTCAACACACGCCTTTTCAACACACGCCTTTTCAACACACGCCTTTTCAACACACGCCTTTTCAACACACGCCTTTTCAACACACGCCTTTTCAACACACGCCTTTTCAACACACGCCTTTTCAACACACGCCTTTTCAACACATGCCTTTTCAACACATGCCTTTTCAACACATGCCTTTTCAACCGTGATATATCTCAACACGCACCAGTGGCGAATTCCTGGAAGAAGGGCGAGTCGGGCTTGAAAATGGCAGCAAAGAGCACATGCGGGGCAGCATCAAAGGCCTGCTCCACCAGCACTCCGCCCCCAGTTAGCTCTCCCGGCATGGGCCCTGCACTCGGCACGTCCATCATATCCTGCTCCCACCACACCCCCGGCACCTCCACCTCCCCCGCTTCCCCCGTGCCCCCCTCTCCCCCTCCCCCTGGCTCCCCGCTCGCCCCGTCACCCTCCCCCAACGACCCTCTCCGCGACTCCCCCTCCCCCTCCTCCCCGGAAACCCCCCCAGGCGCAACCCCACCCCCCTTGGCGTTGGCACCACGCATGGACTGCCCTGCCTTGGCAACGCTGTTTTCCACGGCGTGCCCGAAGGACCGGATGGCTGAGGCTGCGGATAGCTTGGACGCGTGCAGGCGCTGCTTCAGCTGCTGTAGCTGCTGCGGGTTGGGCTTTAAGGACCCGGAGAGCGTCTGGAGAATCTGGTTCCGCGGTTTGGCAACGGCTGCTGCTGTTGCAGTTGCTGGTGCTACAACTGCTGCTGTGCCATCCGGACCCCTCTCCTCGTTATCTTGAAGGCCGGTCGATGCTTCCTGGCCTTCCCCTTCCCCCTCCCCTTCCCCTTCCCCCTCCCCTTCCCCTTCACCCTCCACTTCCGCTTTCTCCTTCCCTTCCTCGTTCCCTTCCGTTTTTCCTTTGCCTTCTCCCTCCCCTTCCCCCGCTCCCTCTCCCGATCCCAGCGTTTTCTCTCCGCCCCACGCTTCCCCCTCGTCTGCTTCCCTGCACGGGGAGAGAACAGCAGGTGAGACTGCATCGGAGGGGCCTGTATGGCGGCGCAGCGCGGGCTTGAGGGGGAGAGAAAAGGCGGGGGCGGACGGGGAAGGGGCGGGCGGGGGAGGTGCGGAAGGGGGAGAGGCGGAAAGGGGAGAGGCGGCAAGGGGAGAGGCGGAAGAAGGTCTAGGAAAGGCGAAGCTGACAGTGGTGATGAGGCTGGGGGAAGGCGAGGGGGAAGGCGCGGCGAGGGGGGAAGTAGACGGGGAAGCGGAAGGGGCGGAGTGGGGAGGAGTGGGCGGAAGGAGGGGGCTGGATGGCAAGGTGGAGGGGGAAGCGGATTCCGCCACTAACGACGAAACGCCCCACAGGCTGGCGGAAATCAAAATGTCGCCTGTAACGGTCGCGCGCGGCCGCACGACCCTGTTCTGTAGCGGGAACCACGTCGCCTGCAGCTCGTAGCTGTCGCACGCCATCACCTGTCGCACGGGCAGCACAAGCTGCCCGAGAAATTCCTCCCCCAGGAAGACGCTCTTGTCCCACACCGTTACCAGCAGTTCGTCTTTTTCCATGTCGCTGACCGAAAAGAGAAATTCTTCCTGCCACGTCGGATCGTTTTCCTTAGCAACTGTTCTGCTGCGCGCCTTCGAGCCGCCCATCTGGAGCCGCGCGAACGCGTCTCTCGCACCGCCATTGTCCTTGGGCGGCAGGCCGCGCGCCTCTAGAAGCTGAATCTGAAGCTTGACGCCCATTGGTCGAGGTTTCTACAGCGGGACAAGGCAAGCGCGACATGCGGAGCCTCAACAAGGCATTGGACGGTTCAGATTCACCGTTGGTTCGTCAATCGGGGCGGAGAATCTTTGCTGCAAAAATGCACAGCGCAGCACTAGAATAAAGGCTCGGGGGTGTGCGGGACAAAAAAAACGAAAGGGCGCCTGATATAATCTACAAAGAACGTATGACGCTCAGACGTAGAACGGACGAGTGGAGGGTAGCAGAGTGGGGATGAGGATGGCTGAATGCTGACGGTGCGAGCGACCTGCCTATGAACGAGAAACTGTCTGAGCGCGGTAGCTATAGCGCCGTCGTGAAATACAGGAAATAAATACGCCGGCTAGGAGGACATGGAGGAGAGAGCGCACTGCGCCGCCATTTGCGGGAGGCTGGGACAAATTTCAAATGATATTTGACAGGTCACGTCGAGTCATCATGGTTTGATCTGCTCCCTCCTGGTTTGGCGAGCGAAAGCTGCGACAATCGTGGGCGAGAGCCAGACGTGCGGTGGAATGGGATGAGGTGCGGTGAGCTGGGATGGAAATGATTTGAATGTGGCTGGCCTGAGGGTTGGGGGGAATCTTTGTAGCTGCGCAGCCAGCTGGTGGGGTTTGACGTGTTGCGCGCGAAGGGGGGAAGAGGGCTGGCAAAGGCTGGCGCGGGGGCTAAGAACTTGGCTCTACGCGTTCTGGGTCATTGTCATTACTACCTGTTTAAAATAAATAATTACAGAAAACTCAGGGCATGTCCCAAAATGCCACCTTGATTAACTGAACAAGTGTAGACAGATTGTGGCTAAATCCCACGTAGATCTTTATCTCTCTTCTTTCAACCCTGCTAATCTGAAAGTGAAGGCACTCGCCGATTCACTTATCCCAGCTCAAGCTTCAGTCTTCACATTCTTGTTGGTCCAGTCAGCTATCAAATCCCGAACCACGAGGTTCGGCATGAGGTGCTTGTGCGGCATGGGCTCGTTGGTGATGGGGGATAGGTCGGCTCGCTCCAGCCACATTTGAATGGCTGCTTTCTCGTAAGTGTACCCGTCTGCTGCTAACACCGGCTCCACCATTATTTTCTGCATGGACAATTGTACCGTACAAGGAAAGATTAGATGGGTTGTTATGGGGATGTGTAGGACAAGCAGCGCATGCAGGGGTGGTGAAACATGGTCATGTCGCATGCCCACATCACAACCATGCTTGGCATGTAACGCCATGCCCGCACTTCCTAGGCTGTCTTCCTCCCAACCAACCTGCACACTCAAGCCTTTTCCAGGAGGACCCCTTCCTTTCAGAGTCTTCCCAAGTTCCCAACCCACCCACCTTGTTGATCCAGGAGCCAAGCAAACTGCAACCCCTCGGGTACATCCCCACTCCCTCCCAAATCTGTTTTTTGAGATTTCTCAAAAACAGATACAAATTCTCCCAAAGCCTTCACCCACCTTGTTGATCGGGCACAGCAACCCCTTGGGCACATCCCCACTCCCCCCCGACCGCCCACCCTCCTTCCCGGCAGCTTCCTCTGCCTCTGCCGCCTCATCCCTCGCCCGCGCCAGCAGCGGCATCACCTCACTCTCCAGATCCGGCCGTTTCTTCCTCCGCATCTCACTGCACCGCACTGCCATCCTTGCCACCTCCATCGCCAGCCCGATCGGCCACTCGCCCGCCTTCTCATCCAGAAGCTTCCCAAAAGCTTCCTCGTCTTCCTCATCCACAGCCTCCTCTAACTCCTCATAAGTCGTCGGCTTGCGCCCGGTCAGAATATCAAATAAAATAATCCCGAGCGCATACACATCGGATTTCGGCCCATAGTCCCCCGTTCGCTGAAACTCCGGGTCGACGTAAGCAAGAGTCCCCACAGGGACGGAATCATGCGCGTGCGTGTGCACCTGCGATCCTGTTCCCGGCATCAGCTTCGCCAGGCCCACATCGCCGAGTTTCGCGACGAGATTCTTATCTAAAAGGATGTTGGCGGGCTTTAAGTCGCGGTGCACAATGGGGATGGGGCGTGCGTGGAGAATGAGGAGAGCCGAGGCGACTTCAGCGGCGATGCGGAGGCGGGCGAACCAGGGGAGGGGCGGCGAGTTGTTGGCGCAGAGCAGGCGCTCCTCGAGAGTGCCGCTGGCCATGAACTCGTACACAATGCAGTGGTGCGACGGGCAGCAGCCCAGCAGCATCACCACGTGTGGGTGCTGTATCTGGCTTAGCACCTCCACCTGAGAGATTGCGGATAGGGGGGAGAATGGGGACCAAAAGACAGGTTCGGATGAGGAAGGCGGGGATTGCAAAGAAGAAAAAAAAAAGGGAGAAGGGAACGAGAATGCCATAATGCAGCAGTCGCCACCACCCTCGGTTGCATGTTTCTCACCCTCGGTTGCATGTTTCGCACCCTCGGTTGCATGTTTCTCACCCATTACCCGTACCCACTTCTGCCCCCAAACACCACACCCCTTTTCTCGAACTCACCTCCTGCTGGAACTCGTTCGTGGCTTTGACCACGTCAGTGGCTTTAAGAACCTTCACCGCCACGCGAGTGTGGTGCAGCCGCCCTCCATACACGGTGCCAAACGCGCCCTCGCCCAGCCGGTTCTTCTGGTTGAAGTTGTCCGTTGCGGCCTGTGAGTGGGGTGACGGGGGGAGAAAGAGGAAGAAGGTGTGATTAAAAATACTCAAAGTAGCTGTGCCTGAGGAACTGCCTACAAACGCCCCCTCGCCGCCGGTTCTTCTGGTCGAAGTTGTCCGTTGCGGCCTGTGATGGGGTGACGGGGAGGGGAACAGGAATCTGGTGTAAGACGTGCACCATCTTTGAGAGATTGCTACAAATGCGCCCTCGCCCAGCCGGTTCTTCTGGTTGGAGTTGTCCGTTGCGGCATGTGATGGGTGGGGGAGAAACAAGAACTGTGGTTGAAGAGGTGCATACAGATGGTAAACTCACTCATAGATATTCGAAGCCCCTGGATCTGGGAATCAAATTTACCCAACTGACCACAATTTCACCCCTTCCGCTCTAAGTGTTAACCCACCTGAATCAATTCATAACTGTTCACACGGTACTGCCCTCGGCCAATCACATTCTAAGGTGCCTCAAAACAACCCCCATTCGGCTTAGGTTCAACCCCCCTGAATCTCAGGCCATGTGGATTCAAATTCACCCCATCTGCCCTCAGAGTCAACCCACCTGAATCTCTTCATAGCTGTATACATGGTACTGCCCTCGACCAATCACATGCTGTTAAACGTCTCAAACGTCCAACCCATTTATCCTCACATCACCCCACCCACCTTAGAGGCAACCCGCCTTAGAGGCAACCCACCTGAATCTCTTCATAACTGTACACACGGTATTGCCCTCGACCAATCACATGCTTGACAGCTCCAGCTCTTTTACCCTTCCCTTCTCCATCCCCTCCTTTCTCCTTCGCCTCTCCCTTCCCTTGCCCCTCCCTCTCTCGCTCCTCCACAACCTCCCCCACATTCCCACTGCTACCGCTAACCCTGCTGCCACTCCCACTGCCACTACCCCTGCTGCCACTGCCGCCGCCGCTGCCACTACCACTGTCACCACCCTCCGTGCCCCTGCCATTATTACCAAACCCATCATCCACAGAACCCCCAACTAGACTAAGCCCTAGGTCAAGCTCGCACCCATCCCCTTCCTCTTCCTCCTGTACCTCTCCCAACTCCCCACCACCCCTCTCTTTTCCCCGCTCACACTCCTCCTGCTCCTTCTCATGCTTATCCCCCCTCCTCGTGTTCTCTCCAGGGCTAAGCAGGTCGATCTGGAGCTCTGACATGGAAAGAGACAAATCCACGTCATCATCTGGCTGCTCCCCTCCCTCTGCACCGCCCGCTCCCTTGTCCATACCCAACGAGCTGCCGCCCAAAAGGTCAACCTGGAGATCACTGGCAGAACCCTCAAACCCTCCAGTAAAGGAAAGGCTGCTATTTTGGGAATGTTTTTTGGTTAGGCCACGGGTGTTGGCAGAGGGAGGACGGCTGTTTGAGTCTGCGCCGTGGAGTGAGCGAGGGGAGAGGGAGCTTAGGTCAAAGGTGGAGGAGGATCCATCAGTAAACCCCACCACACCACTCCCAGCCGCACTCAATATATCAATCTGCAACTCGTCATCCTCCTCCCCTACCTCCTCCTCTTCCTCTTCCTCCTCTTCTTCTTCGTCTTCTTCTTCCTCCCCACACTCCTGCCCCTCATCCTCATCATCCTCATCCCTCCCATTCCCTGTCTCCCCCCATCTTAAGCCCTCTCTGGTCCCTTGCTCAAATCTGAAGTTCGAGTTGCCTCCTCTCTGCGCTAATCTCTGCGCCGCTGCTGCTGCCGCTTCTGCCGCTGCTGCAACTGACGGCTCTGCTCCCCCTGCTTTACCACCTCTGCTGCCACTACCGCCACTGACAGACAGCCCCGACTGCCCCGTTCGCCTTCCTGACCCTGCTCCTCCTACTCCTCTCTCCCCTCCATCTTCCTGTTTCGTTTTGCCCGCTGCCCGGGCCAAAGCTGCTTCCACTGAGGCCAGCTTCATCCGGGCAGCTTCAAATTCTTTCTGCGACTGTGCCAGCTCATAACTGTACTGCGACTGGCCGCCCACTTCTCCCTCGCTCCCGCACCTTGCCACTCCACCCTCTCCCCTCACCTGCCCTGCACCCTCCTCCCCCCTCCCTCCCCACGGGCTCGCCTCAGTAGCCGCCTCCCCCCGGCCTGCCTGTGCCTGCACGCGCATCTGCAGCAGCCGCCTCTCTGCGTGCAGCCTGGCTGTTTCCGCCTCCTTTGCATGTAGCCGCATCTGCTCTATCTCTATCGCTGCTGCGCTCTGGTGTGCACAGGCGGGAAACGGGGGAGAGGGGAGCGGGGGGGGGGGGGGGGAGGGGGAAGGGGGGGGGGAGTGGGGGGTTAAGGAAGGGAAGAGGGATGTAGAGTAGACGAAGGAAGGGTTTTGACTCGACTCAAAAGTGCAGCCTGGCTGTTTCCGCCTCCTTCGCCTGTAGCTGCATCTGCTCTATCTCCATCGCTGCTGCGCTCTGATGTGCACAGGACCAAGGGGGGGGCGGTGGAAAGTGGGACGCAGAGGGAGGAGGGGCATTGAGGGAGGAGGGACGCAGAGGGAGGAGGAAAGCGGAGAAAACAAGCTTTTGAGAGCTAGCACAGACATGTGCTCGACAAATACGGATTCACAGGTGCAAAAATCGTCCTTATGCACAAAGGGACATACCTTCCGGCCTGCCCCTCGTGACGCGTCTCCCACACCAGATGCAGCAGCACCCAAGGCAACAAAGTCAACACCGCCACCGCCAGAACTGCCAGCACCGCCGCTCCTCTCTCTCCTGTGCCTGTCAACACTGCTGCGACTCGCCTTCAGCTTTCTCCCTCCAGCAGGAGAGGTATTCGCGGCCCCATACTCTCCTCCCTCGTACCCCCCTCCCTCATACCCCCCTCCCTCATAACCCCCTCCCTCATATCGCCCTCTGGACGGCTTAAAAGAAGGCGAGAGGCGCGGCAGCGGGCCAGAGCTACTAGTGAGGCTGTCTCTAGCGAGGACAGACGCCAGGCCATCCGTACCACTCCGAGAGCGAGGCGGAGTGAGGAACTGCCCAAGCCGATTGGCACTGGCGGCGTTGCTGTCGTTGGCATTAGCTATGGTGGCAGGAGGGTTACCGATGGGTATGTCACCCCCACTGTGACTGTACCCCATGCCATCATACCCTGTGCCTTCCAGTGACCCCTGGGGCACCTCAACAGGAAGGCCAGATGATAAAGCAAGCTGGTCGCGGCTGCTCTTGCGGGATTTAGACTTGGATCGGGACTTTCTCTTCTCGCCCTCCTGCTGCTGCTCCCCTCCTTGCTGCTGTTGCTGCTGCTGCTGCTGCTGCTGTTGCAGGTGCTGAAGCTGCAGCTGTTGCTGCAGGAGCAGCAGCTGCTGGTTTGGGTCTGCTCCTGGGCTGCTGCTGAAGAGAGGGATTTCCTCTGACCTGCTGTTGTTAAAGCTGCTGCTGCCGCTGACGTTCATGCCGCTGCCAATGCTGATGTTGTTGCTGCTACTGCTGCGCGCCGGGGGTGGGGCGGCGGGCAGCGGACTCTTGTTCCTCCGGCTGGTCTTCCCTGGCTTGCCTGCCACGTGTCAGACGCGTGGGGGGGAGGGTGGCGTGTGTGGGACACGTGGAGAGGAGGGTGGCGTGTGTGGGACACGTGGAGAGGAGGATGGCGTGTGTGGGACACGTGGAGAGGAGGGTGGCGTGTGTGGGGACACAGAGGACGTGAGAAAGCACGGTTATTCAAGGAAAGGGGTATGAAAAAAAGAGGGACAGTGTATCTGTGTGCATCGAAGCAATATTTTATGTCACATTGCAGCTTGTTATCAACACCTGCCTGCCTGCAACACCGCATGCCACCTGCACACACCGCATGCCACCTGGACTCACCATCTGCCACGTGGACTCACCAGCTGTCATCTGTGCGGCCAGCAATTGCTCTAATACTTCAGGAGGCAGCCGCAGCGCCGCCAGCTCAGCAGCCGGCGTGTCCAATCGCAGGCCGGCAGCCAGCAGCTGATCCACCAATAAGGGCCCTCCGCCCTGAAACTGACCCGGAGACATGCCCAATAAGGACCCCGTTCCATCCGTAAACCCCCCTCCCGCTCCCCCTCCCCCTCCGCCTCCTGCTGCTTCCTCCGCAGCGGCGGCTTCGAGAGCAAGGGCGTCGAGGGCAGCAGGGGAGCCGGTGATGTGCCCGTCTGCCTCGTGGCTCACCAGCAGCTTGCCCGCCTGAATGACATACACTGACATGTGTGGCGGCTTGTTGCGGATGAAATACGCCCCCGTGCCGAACGAGTCGCTGTGCTTGATGAGGGGGGAATGGGGGAGGGGGGGGGGGGGTGGGGTGGAGGGAGAGAGGAAGGGTGAGTGGCTGACTAGCAGCTTGCCCGCCTGAATGACGTACACGGGCATGTGTGGCGGCAGGATGGGGTTTAGCGAAGAGGCAGAGGAAGAAGCAGAGGGGCGAGACCTTGTCTCATTGTTACCAGAGTGTCTGTCGATGGTTCAATCCGTCCAGCTGTTTCATGAATGAAGCGTGTTGTGAGGCGTGTTGTGAGGCGTGTCGGGAGGCGTGTCGGGAGGCGTGTCTCGAGACTCACAAGAGAGAGGCACAGCACACGCGTGATGGCGCACAGGCATGCCTTAAGGCGCCTGGAGACTCACAGGCTGGGCTGCGCGCCGATGACGAGCATGGACGCCTGCAGGCGCGTGGCCTCCTCCTACTGGCTTGCGAGATGTCTCAGTACAGGGAATAGGGCACCGTGACGGCGCACACTGGCGTGGGTCCAGGCGTCTCAGGGACTCACAGGCTGGGCTGCGCGCCGATGACGAGTATGGACGCCTGCAGGCGCGTGGCTTCCTCCAGAATGCCCCTCACGCGCCAGTTGCTGCGGCCCACCTTCAGCTCCACGCGCGCCTGCACCTGGGGGAGGGGGGAAGGCGAGTGTGGGTGTGTGGGAGAGGGAGGGGAGGAGGGACCAACACAATGTGGGGGGAATGGGGAGGAGGGACCAACACAATGTGGGGGGAATGGGGAGGAGGGACCAACACAATGTGGGGGGAATGGGGAGGAGGGACCAACACAATGTGGGGGGAATGGGGAGGAGGGACCAACACAATGTGGGGGGAATGGGGAGGAGGGACCAACACAATGTGGGGGGAATGGGGAGGAGGGACCGGGAATGGGGGGTTGGCGAGGGACAACACAATGTGCTCACATCCTCCTCACAGCCTTACCTTGGGATCCACGGCGGCCTTGAGCCGCAGCATCATGGGCTTCACCACGTCCCGCAGGTAAGCCACGAACGCCGCCGTCGTCGCCTCGCTCTGGTATATCTCCCCGCCCGCCCCCCCACCACCGTACCCGCCTGAAGGGACAAACGGGGATGGGACGGGGGACGAGGGGGGTATGAGAGCACCCAAAGGCTTTTGAGACGTCTCAAAAGGGGTATGAGAGCACCCAAAGGCTTTTGAGACGTCTCAAAAGGGGTATGAGAGCACCCAAAGGCTTTTGAGACGTCTCAAAAGGGGTATGAGAGCACCCAAAGGCTTTTGAGACGTCTCAAAAGGGGTATGAGAGCACCCAAAGGCTTTTGAGACGTCTCAAAAGGGGTATGAGAGCACCCAAAGGCTTTTGAGACGTCTCAAAAGGGGTATGAGAGCACCCAAAGGCTTTTGAGACGTCTCAAACGGGGCAGTCGTCGCCTCGCTCTGGTAGATACCCCCCCCCCCCCGCCCCCTCACCACCATACCCGCCTGCAGGGACAAATGGGGCGGGGGGAAAGAGGGGGACATGTGAGGATACATGTATAGGCCCGCACATACGTCACAAACGCTGCCGTCGTCGTCTCGCTTTCGTAGGTCCCTCCGCCCGACCCTGCGCTGCCGTACGCGCCTGCACAAACAATCGGAAAACGGGGAAGATACTGAGAATTCTCAAGAATCGCTCGCGGCGACAGTTTGAGACTCGTGACCCGCAAATACGCCACGAATGCTGCAAACGATCGCTCGCTTTGGTAGATCGGCCAAACCTCCCCCCCCCCCCCCGCCCCTGCGCTGCTGTACGCGCCTGCAGGGACAACCGTAGGCGGGGAGAAAGGTGGTGGTGGAGGCAGAGGAGGGGAGAGAGAAGGGGATGAAGGGGAGACAGTAGGAGCAGGACACAAAAGTGCAGTGGCGTATGCGTTTATTACAAGCATGTTGTAGCAACTAGCGAATGATTTCTGAGACGACTGCGGAGCTTAATCGAGTTTGAAGCGCCTATTAGCTAAAACTACGTTCTATAGCCGCCTATTGAACTCAATCAATTCTCAAGGCGTTTATTTTTCCTTTTTTTTGTTTTTCTTATCAAGCCGATATGCCCAAACTGTAACATATCAAGCGCTCGACGCAGTAATGAAGACGCCAGAACGATAGAGTTGAGACACAAAGCCGATTCAGGCAAAAAGGCTTTGGCATGACGCGGGGGAAACAATCGTCACCGCATTTAACGGCGAGCACGGCTGTTCACTGCTACGGCTTTGCCTCTCAGTTACCTTACCGTACCGCACCATGCCTACCATAATGCCTCCCATACCGAGCCTTACCGTGCTTCCCATTCCAAGCCTCCCATACCGAGCCTCCCATACCGAGCCTCCCATACCGAGCCTCCCATACCGATTCTACCACACCGAGCCTACCATACCGAGCCTACCTGGAGCGGGGAGCCTGGAGACGATGTGCAGGAGGATGAGCATGTCATCGGCGCGCTTCATCTTCTTCCGAACCGCCCATTTTATGGCGTCGCGGCTCGACGGGTCCTTGCTCACGGCCACGACTATCCGCTCCGGCCCCCCGCTGAAGGGAGCCATCATGGACCTCTAAGTCTTATCTCTTAAAACCTTCGATATTGTCGCGCTCGCGACCTCTCGCTACCACTCACGCCCTCTCAGTTCCTCTCACGTCTTCTCGCAATGCGGGAACGTTAGTGCTTTTGAGTTTGCCTGTTGGATTAAGAATGGCGCGGTTCTTCTTAAATCATCACTCAAAGGAATCATTATTAGCCTCGCATTTAACCGCTTGAGGTGAAACTCGCATGTGTCTCAAGAAAAGTGGGTCTATAAAACGCAGCCCTTGCGTGATTTGTTGATCGGAAGATGAATCTCGTTCCTTAAGGAAAAAACTCTCATGCGCAATGACTCTGGTAATGAAGTATGGGAATTCTGAGGGCATGCTCAGTGCTGACATGGTCTACAAGACGCGCCAGGGTCAATGGATCCTTATCCAGACATCACAGGGTGCAGACTATCCTCGTGTCCTATTCGTGTGGGTAAAACTCAAAGCTAATGACCACTGCGGCCTCGCTGGTAAAAGCTAAGGACCACTGCGGCTTCAGTGGTACAGTAACATAAGGACTTCGAAGCCGGGTCCGCTGGAAGAAAGGTGATCCCAAAAGATACACGTAGCGAGCAGGATTCGCGTGAGCCGCCTTTTTCTGCCATTCCTAAGCGGGTGATTGGTCCTCCGTGTTGGTGAGACGGAACGTGAAATCCATGAGAAAACTATGACACTGAATGGATCAAGGTCCCGCTGCCAGCATCGTCAACTTGCCTTTCAATTTGCCCTGCTGCTCTTCTGCTTGGCTTCCCCTTCCCCCCCGAAGTGGGAAACGAGAAAGGCTTGGCAAGGCTGCCTTGGCTGCCTTCCTGCCTTCCACGTCCACCAATCCAGATTCCACCAGACTTTGCTGCCCGTACATTCAGCGGTCACGCACGGAGGCATCTGCCAAGATGACTCGTCACTCTCGAGGGTTGAATTGTCAGCACAAACTGAAATCGACGCTGCCACGGTATTGTCGGTTTCGCTGCCCACCAGAATGGAAAACTTTTATCAATCGGGACCGAGTTTGTCAGGATTTGTTCAAGTTGCTTTCGATTTGCATTCTCGACGTTTGATGTGGGCGTTCGTACAGCCAGGGTTGTCGTGTCGTGAGTCGGAATTTGTGCGTTTTCCCTGCCCTTGATCTGTGAGGAAAGTCATGAAATTCGGAGCCGCACGGATGGCAATGCTGCCCTCTCTCACAATGCTGCCACGACATTTGCTGTAGGGAATCTGACCGTCGATTTTAGCGAACTGTCAACCAAAGCCGACACTCGTTGCAAGCACCCATCATTGCAGACACGTAAGGATTAGATCAACATGATGAAGGGACACCCATACATAGAGAATACAATATCTACTAACGTAATACCAACCAAGGTTAGCCAGAACTTTCTCCCATATAATACACCCTAAAGCTACAGCCAGCAGGTTGCCTTTTCCCTGCTCCTTCTCCTGTCACAGTCGTTCTTCCACATCCATCCAATACTTCCATCACCAAATTATCATTCTCCCCTTCACATACCAGCCATCATCCTCTCCATCATAATCACAGCCTCCTTTTGTGCTTTCATCAGCACCGGCATCACCACTTCCCCAAGGTCAGGCCTCTTTTTCCTCTTCATCTCACTGCACCACACAGCAATCCTCGCAACCTCCATTGCCAGCCCAATGGGCCACTTCCCTGCCTTCCCATCCAGCAGCTTTCCCAACGCCTCCTCATCTCCTTCATCCACAGCATCTTCTATTCTCTCATACCGCGCCGGCTGCCGCCCGGTCAGCAAGTCAAACAGGATAATCCCGAGGGCATACACATCCGATTTCGGGCTGAAATCGCCCGTCCGTTGATATTCCGGGTCGACGTAAGCAACGGTCCCGATCGGCATAGACGTGTGCGCGTGCGTGACATTAAAGCCCTGGTCCGAACCCCCACCGCTCCCCGGCATCTGCCTCGCAACCCCCACGTCGGCCAGCTTTGCTACAAGCCGCTCGTCTAAAAGCACATTCGCGGGCTTTAAGTCCAGGTGGATTATGGGCTTGGGCTGGGAGTGTAAAGCGAGGAGCGCGGAGGCGATTTCGGCAGCGATGCGAAGGCGGGCGAACCAGGGGAGGGGCGGCGAGTTGTTGGCGCAGAGCAGGCGCTCCTCGAGAGTGCCGCTGGCCATGAACTCGTACACTATGCAGTGGTGCGACGGGCAGCAGCCGAGGAGGGACAGCACATGTGGGTGATTGATTTGGCTCAGTAGCTCCACCTGAGGAGTTGCAGCAAGAGACGGGTGTTGAGGGGAGAAACACGGGCAACGGAAAAAAAAAAAAAGAGTGAGTGGTGCAAACGAAGGCTGTAAGGACAAAAGCAGGACATTAGAGACACGTTTCACTCGTGCATGACGAGAAACCGTCAAAATTACGACCGTAATTTTGAACCTTGCACGAGGGAGCGGGAGGAAGAGGAAGACGATAGGGAAACGGGCAGAAAAAACAGGAGAAAAAAAAAACGAAATAGCGACTTCGACCCGATTGGAAGCAACAGCGGCTGACCTCTCTCTGAAATTCCTTGGCTGCCCGGGTGGCGTCTTCCGTCTTTATCACCTTCACAGCCACCTTGCTGCCGCCCAGCATCCCAGAAAAGACGGTGCCGCAGCCGCCCTCTCCCAGCACCAGCTGGGGGCAGAAATTGTCGGTTGCTCTCTGGTGTATGGGAGAGGGGGGAGTGGGGAACGGAGAGGGGAAGGGAGTGGGGAGAAAGGAGGGTGTATGGCAATAGAAGAACAATGCAGACGACAGCAAGAGCACAGCACAGCGCTCCTGTCCTCTCCCAACAGCAGCTGGGGACTGATGTTGTCCGTCGCTCTCTGTTGAGTGGGAGAGGGGAGGGGCGTGGCCAGGAGTGGGAACGGGAGAGAGGAGAGCGTGGAGAGTGTATGGATCCCCTCATAAGAGCACATATGGCAAAACACTTCTCAGGCGCCTCAATACGCGGCACAACCAAGTCTTCTCACGCTGGTACACGCTGCACAGCATCCCACTCCACGCCGTTTTTTAGGCTTTGGCAGGCATACCTGCAATTCCTCATATGACTACACACACAGAGGTGACTTTTGAGTCGACTCAAAAGTCGCCTCAACACGCGGCAATACATCACATCCCACTTTTCAGACTCCACGCCGTTTCCTAGGCCTTTCCAGGCATACCTGCAATTCCTCATATGACTACACACAGATAGCAGTGCCATTCTGTGGTGCCTCAAAAGTCAACGCACCTGGATTCTCCTCATAAGAGTACACACGGCAGTACACCCCACTGGACGCTTCCTGTGCTCCTCCTGCTGCTGACTTTGAGTTGACTGAATAGTGAAGCCCACACAGTCAACGCACCTGGACCTCCTCATAAGAGTACACATGGCAGTACACCCCACTGGATGCTTCAAGCTCTCCTGCCACCGCTGCACTTGGACACACGGCGGAACACCTGTAGCACACCTCGAATCACAGTCAACGCACCTGGATCTCCTCATAAGAGTACACACGGCAGTACACCCCACTGGACGCTTCCAATGTTCCTGCCACCGCTGCTGCCCCCAAACCTTCTCCCACCCCACCGACCTCCTTCACCCCAGCCACAGCAGACGCAGCTGCTACCATGCCTGCCTCCTTCACTCCAGCCCCAACGGCGCCACTGCCATTGCTGGTGCCAGTGCCAGTGATGTGAGCGCTGCTTGCCTCACCCCCGCTGCCAGCCCTGCTGCTCGGACCGCTCCCACTCCCCATGGTGAACGTGCTCCCTGTGCTGCTCGCAAGGCTCAACCCTCCGCTGCCACCGCTGCCGCCGCTGCTGCCGTGCTGTTGCGACCTGGCAACAGCATGAACTACAGAGGCAGCGTCATGTGCATCGCTCCACGTACTGCCGGCCCCTATCTCACCCCCACCAGTAAGCTCTCCTCCTGCCCCCCCTCCTCCCACTCCTCCCCCTTCCCCTCTCCCCTCTCCTCCAAATCCGTTCCCTCCCCACCCTCCTCCCCCTCCCTTTCCTCCTCCCCCTCCCCCTGCTCCCCCGCCCACATTAACACCCTCCATAAGAGCAGCCAGCTTGGCAGCTGCCTGAAGCTGCTGCTGCTGGTGCAGCAACAGCCGTTGCTGCTGCTGCTCCCGCAACTGCTGCAACTCCTTACCCACCCCCCTCTCCTCCCCTTTCCCTCTGCCGCCTCCCTCCTGCCCGTCCCCCATGCGCCTCTCCTCCCCGAAACCACCATCTGCCGCAGGTGCCGCAGTCATCACCGCAGTGACCTCCTTGCTGCTGCTCCCATCCGAAACCACAGAACGATCCGACAGGGAAGAGCCAGCGCGCACGAAACTGCCCCTGCCAAAACTACCACTGCCGCTGCCACTGCCACCACCACCGCCTTCACTGTCCTGCACCGCATGCACTGCATCCGACCGGCTCTCACCGCTCCGGCTCTCGCTGTTCCTCCGGCTATCCCCAGGGGAGGAGCCAGCGGAGGGGATGGAAGAGGAGGAGGCGCCAGGGAGGGGGCTGCCGCCAAGGGAGAGAGCAGGGGAGCGGTCGGGGGGGGTGGACTCGCCGTGCTTGGAGAGGAGAACTTTGTCTTTAGAGACGACTATCACGGAGAGCGAGGGCGGGCGGTTCTTGAGACAGAAGGCGCTCGTGCTGCCTGATAGCTTGCCGCGCCTGTGAGGGGAGGAGGGAGGGGAAAGGAAGGGAGGGGAAGGAGGGGAAGGTGCGGCACGGAGGGGATGGATTAGGGGCTGGTAGTGCAAGAGTCACCCTGACTCATGTTTTCGAAGCCCTTCCTTTTTCCTCTCTACTACTGCAGCCCTTCGAAAACATGAGTCAGAGTAGTGCAAGAGGAGCGGAGCAGGAGGTTACCTCCGAGTCGGTCTTAAACTGCAGCGATCCCAAGCAGTGGCCATGCTACAGCCTAAACCCCCTTACATGGAGAACATCCCGCAGCGCTTGGTACCGAGCACGAGGCGCGTGGCACTCACGAAGCTTGTTCGCCTCCTCCATCCATGATCCCCGCGCCTTGAGACGCCTCATTACCTCTGACTGCGTATGCCTTACAACAGCCTGCTGCTTACATGGAGAACATCCCGCGCCCCTTGGTGCTCAGAACGAGGCACGTCGCCTGCAGCTTCTTCGCCTCCTCCATGATCCCCGCGTCCCGCGAGTCGTTGCGCCCCACGCGCAGCTCCAAGCGCACCTGCGAGGGGCGACAGGCGGATGGGGATGGGGGAGGCGGAGAGGGGAAAAAGGGGATTACAAGCTATGAGGAAGGTAAGCCCTTCCCGTGCCCCTCCCTTGGAATACCATGACCGCCGGAAGGGCTGTACCTTCATCAGGTGTTCGGCTGGCCGACGCACAACACGGCTTTCGAGTCGACTCAAGAGTCACCTCATGACCGCCGGAAGGGCCGTACCTTCATCAGGTGCTTGGTTGGCCGACGTACAACACGGCTTACCTTGGAGTCTAGTGCCTCACCTTGGCGTCAATGGCGGCCTTGAGTTGAGCTGCGAGAGCATGGGCATGATGGCGGTGCGCACGTGCTGCGCCAGTCTCGCGTCAGATCAGCTCAGCTAATCTCACCTTCAACGGCGCACTGAGTTGAGTCGAGTCGAGTCGCTCACCTTGGCGTCAATCGAGGCTTTGAGCTGCGAGAGCATGGGCATGATGGCGGTGCGCACGTGCTGCACGATCGCCGTCTTCGACACACCGCTCTGCGCCACGTCGTACCCATCCGGACCTGCCGCAGATATTGGAGTCATTTAAACAACAAAAAACGAAAGATATTTTTCACGAATGGAAAAACGTCCTCGAGTCATCATCCGGACCTGCCAAAGCCGCGTACGGGCACGCACGGATGAAGATCCGACCCGAGATATGGAGGAGTTAACACAACCGAAGCAAACCCGGAGCAAAAGGCACAAAAAGCTCGATTTCCTGTAGACGAGTCGGTATGTTCCTGCAACATAACAATGTAGTATCATCTTAAAATTACTGTAACTCCAACTTTCCCTTTCCACACATAGCCACCGCCAGAGACGCGTGACTCAACAGCCAGGTCGGAGAGCGCCGAGTACCTCACCAGCCAGGCACGCCCCCCTACCGCCGGACGCGTCCCATTTTTTTTCCTCCTTAACTCGGCATCGTACCCGTCGCATAGTTCGTGTCCCCTGACGCGCTCTTACCCGGCGCTTTGGTGACGATGTGGAGCAGTACGAGCAGGTCGTCGGGGTGCGAGATCTTATTGGCTACGGCCCATCGCAGCGCGTCCTTGCTACACGCGTCACTGCTTACAGGCACCAGAACCCGCTCGTTATTGTCACCCTCCCACGACATTTTCCCGCTCTAAGCTCGACAGCTGCTCCGCTACTCGCTAATGGTAGAGTATTAAGAAATCATTGCCTTGTTTGGAGCAGTCCCCTCCTTTCATTGCTTCTGGTATTAAGAGTACTAAATAAAAACTAATGGTTTCCTATTCTACAGAAAAATGACGTCCTTGAAGCACGGAGGAGGATACCATGAATCGTCAAAATAAAGCTCTCTGCATGTTCCAACTAACGACGAAAAGTGCTCAATGGAAGCAATGGAAGACTATCCACCTCAGCTTTTTGGATCCAAAACGCTAGCTAGTGGTGAGTATGCCCACAGGCGAATGTGAAAGGCGGCGGAGTCCAAGAATGAAGCTTTTGTTTCAATTCAACGGGAGATCGTGGATGCAAGTCACTGTTGAGACTACTACGTGTATGAATTTTAGCGATCTTTCCTATGGTCTGTGGTACAAACTGAACCAATTTTTAGGGTTCTTAATTTCAGAAGCGACACACACTACTGAGTTGCGGGGCTTCATTGCTGCCGTTTTTGTTGTGCGCCTAGTACGTCGATGCTGGCGGTTTTCGAACCAGAAGGCACTTCAGCGTGAAATGGAATGGAGAGATCTCGGATTACACCCTGCTTGTGAGAATCCAGAAAACCTTTGATTTTACTGAACACACTGGGAAACGAGGGCATTGAACAATAAAATGCTACTACACCAATGAGCGCGCATCTCTCGTAATTGGCTTGAGTGTCCTCATCAAAATCAGTGCATCTGGGCTGCCGCTGCCGCACTGTGGGCCTGACTAAGGGAGGACGCACAGCCCACGAGAGCTATCAAATTGCCCAGGCGGTTCCAACTTTCCCCCAACAGACTCCGCGCATTGAGAGTACAATAATCCCTAAGGCGTGTTAAGTCCCCGCACAGTTCGGAAATGTTGTGTGGCCGAATTTTCGACGACCAAATGGTCGTCATATTTTTCGCGAACAGCGACGAGGTGGCCGATTCAGAGTCGACTCTTTTTCAGCCACCATTTTCAGTTTTGGCGATTTGCAGGCCGGTTCGGAAAAGTTGATAAATTTGCAGTTACTACAGTAGTTGAGTTGTGCGACGGGGTCGCACTTCTGACGACGATATTTCTCATTTGACACGATCGCAAAACTCGTCGTTGGGCAAAACCGTGCGACGTCACAGGCGATTGTCGCACACTGTGTCGACTACTTGGCCGTTTTGGAGTCGACTCGGCGTCGTTTCCGTGTAAAACGGTCATCAAATTCGTTATTTTTTATCGGAAAATGCGACTGTCGCCACCTGAATGACGAATGTCGCAAACTAGCTACCTTCGCAGAAACAATACCTAAGTTCCGCGAAGCACTGTACGCGCAACTGTCCAAGTCAAGTCTGACTGGCTGCTTCTGCTGTGGGCAGGACACTGGGCAGGCAAGCCAAGTTGCTTCGGGAAATGGGGCTGGGAGACTATTCGCCTCCCCCTGCGATTGGTGGGGTGGGGCTGGTCTTGCGCCGCCTGGATAATCGTCTGTCAGGCTGGATTGGCCGCTTATCCAAAAACGAAGGATACAAACAGAAAATCCAGCTAATCACAACGCAGACTTCCCATAACTCTTTACAATCACACCTCTGGTTTCTCTCCTCCACTATACTCTTTACAGAGAGTTCCCTTAACGGACACACGACCTTGCCACCTGGAAAGTATCGAGATGACGCAGACTGACGCAGAATGGGGATCTGCAATGCATCCATCTCGGCCACGTAAGCTGCAGGATCGTCGTGCCTTATGGCTTTCAGGTGCGGGAGGCTTTTGTTTTCCTCGACGTTTCATATTCCTGCTACCCCTGTTGATCATGGAGAAACTCGTTAAACCTCGCAATCAGAGGTAGGAATGTATCGTAACTCTAGTACTGTAAGATTTCTAGGTTCTCAGAATACTTAGCGCGGGCTAACGTCTAGTTGAAACCCCTACAAACGATTGAGTTTGAGCGGGCAACCCTTACGAATGGGCCGTTTTTTCCTTGCCCCTCTTGAGACATCACACGCGAAGGGATGACGGATGCAGCAGCACAATCTTGTGCTTTCCAGATCTCAAATTTCTATCCATTTCGTGTTCTTCCAGCCATCATCCATCATTTCAGCAGAATAACGCAAGCACAGTATCTTACCTTCTAACATAACGCGCAAAGCCCTAGCGCGACATCAGCGACCGTGAAATTTCTACCGTCCTTCCGGCTTCCGTGCATAATTCGATTTTCGTGTTCCCTCGACCTTGTGTACTCGCTTCGCCTCTCTTTCCCGCGCGAGCCAGTCGCGGAATCGCGGGGTGCGCGATGGCGTCGGAGGACGAGTCGTCGTCAGCCTTCGTGTCGGAGTCCGAGGAGGAGAAGGGTAGGTTCCTTTCTGCGCTCACACGTAGCACTTGAGTCAAGAGCCATGTTTCTCTCTTTGCTCAGTACATAAATACTTAATGTAAGCCTTGTTATGTTCGCTTATGACATCGGAGATTTCTCAGGCTCTGCCTTGCCGTGGCGTGCCCTTATCTCCACCCCCGGTCCGGTTTCTTGTTAAATTGCAACAGTGCCGGAGACCATGGCACGTTCTTCGTTCGCCGTGTCCTTCGCCCCCTTATGTCCCCTTCCCCTGTTCCCTTCCCTCTTTTTTTTCCAGTCTGCTCAAATATGTTTCGCTGGCCAGTCATCCCCTCATTTGTTCCTCCACTTCTTCCTTCTCCCTTCCCTCCCTTCTCATCCCCAACCTCTTCCCCGTGGCTTCTCTCCCGCGGCCTCTCCCGCTATGGCGGCCGTTTATCAGCAGTGCTTGTGGCGAAGGGCGGCGCGGCAGCAGGAGAGGCAATCGAGGAAGCTTCGGAGGCGGAGGCGACGGAAACGGCAGAAGAGGACACGGAAGCGGAGGAGACGGCGGAGGAGGATAACGACGAGGACGACGACGACGATGAGAAGGACGAGGAGGGCGGTGCGGCGGAGGCGGAGGAGGAGGTGGTGATGCTGCTGTGCGTGCTGAGTCTTGACGACGGCGACGTGCTGCGGAAGCGCAAGATCTGGCGCCGCATCGCCGTGCCGGCCGACTTTTCGCTGCTCGAGCTGCACGTCGCGCTACAGGTGAGTCAAGTGCTTGGCGCGCTGCAGGTGAGCGGATAGTCACGAAAAGAGAAAAGAAGAGAAGAGAAGAGAAGAGAAGAGAAGAGAAGAGAAGCGAAGAGAAGCGAAGAGAAGCGAAGGGGAACGGAGGAGCGCGAGTGTTGAAAAACGAGATTGCAACTTGGAAATGTTCTTGCGAACGATAGGAGTGACGGTTCGCGTGTCAACGATGTGGTTCGCGCCCTGTCGGATCATTAGGCTACGGAAAAATGTAACGTTTGCACAGCGTTTTTACAAAACCTGCTCCGACTACTCTGTTCCTTACCGTGTGCCGATCTAATTGATTGACGGACCAGACGAGATTGGTTTCAGTGGTCGTGTGTAACACGGTTACAAAAGCTGCCTGGCGAGTCTTCATCACGAGTTACCTCTTGTCGTACACGCGTCGTCAGCCCCACCTGTGGCCCCGCCTGTTCCACGGCGCTGCTTCTCCGCCATTTTTTCGAGCACTCGTTTTGCCATTCCCCGTACCCTGCACTCCACCCTCCCTCCTCCCTTGACCCCGCCGTGACAGAACGCGTTCGACTGGGAGGACACGCATCTCCACGACTTCACCCAGCCGCGCCGCCACGCGTGGCGCCGCCTGCTCGACCCCGCCGCCGTTCTGGCTGACGAGATCACCGACTCCGAGGCCGAAACCGAGGGCGCTACAGCCAAACCCAAGCCCGCTACAGCCACCGCCGCTACAGCCGCCGCAGGCATCATCGCTTCTGCTACATCCGAGGTTGTTCTCCCGCCGCTCCCCGACACGCAGTACCGGGGGTTCGGCCGGACGGATCTTTCGGCTGTAGCGGAGCTGCTACAGCTGGATTTGGACTCTCTGCCGCCCGGTTTCACGCGCACGTTCAAGACTGTAGCGGGCGCCAAGGAGGAGGCGGCGGACGATTTGATTCTGACGCCCGCGAGTTTGGATCTGGGCGGGAGTGCTGAGGTGGTGTTTGTGGAGCATGCTGACGTGGCAGCGGCGGGAGAAGGCAAGGAGGTGGCGTTATTGACGGGACCTGGCGAGGTGAGGAGGGGAGTGGGGAGGGGGGATTGTGAGAGAGTGGAGTGTGGGGTTGCGTGGAGTGCACGGGGGAAAGTGGGGGAGAGGAGTGGGGAAATGTGGGGTGTGTGGATTTTCTGGGAAAGGAATGTGGAGGAGAGGTCCTTGTGTGCACCGCCACACACTCCCATTCCCTGCACCCCGCCTCTACTCCTCACTCTCCTGCTCCCCACCCTCCTGCTCCCCACCCTCCTGCTCCCCACCCTCCTGCTCCCCACCCTCCTGCTCCCCACCCTCCTGCTCCCCACCTTCCTGCTCTCCCACCCATGCTTCCGTTTTCCATCGCTCCCCTCTCTCTCTTCCTCCCCCCCACATCAGGTGCTGGACGAGAGGGCGTTCGAGGTGGGAGCAGTCTTTTCAAAGACCGACCCGCTGCTGGTCTACCAGAACGACTTTGGGATGAGCTACGAGGAGCACCGGGAGGCTTGTGCGACCTCGACTGAACAACCAACCACCACTTCTCTCTCCTCTGCTCACCCTCCCCTGCTAACCCTCCCCACTCCCATTTCTCTATCCCCCCCTCCCCCATCAGGTACTGGACGAGAGGGCGTTTGAAGTGGGGGCGGTCTTTTCAAAGACCGACCCGCTGCTGGTCTACCAGTACGACTTTGGCATGAGCTACGAGGTGCACCTCATTTTCGAGGGTAAATTCCCCGCCACCGAGGGGGTGAACTACCCGACGTGCCTGGCGGGCGCGGGAGCGAGTCCAGCAGAGGACGGCAACGATATGGATGACGAGGGCGCGCTGCTGCCTTCATACGACTACACCGACTTTGCTGTGCTTGATGTGAGTCATTGGGTTGTGCTTGGTATATGAGTAGGGGCGTGGGTGGTATTGTTTGTCATATGGGGATATGGGGAGCGGGGGCGAGTCAAGAGGGGGGTGGAGCAGACTCCAGCAGAGGACGGCAACAGTATGGACGATGAGGGCGCGCTGCTGCCTTCGTACAAATACACGGAGTTTGCAGTTCTCGATGTGAGTGGGGATGTGAGTGGGCATGTGGGTGGGTGGTATTGTTGTATGGGGAACAGGTGCGAGTCCAGCAGAGGATGGCAATGATATGGACAACGAGGGCGCGCTACTGCCTTTTTAAGAATTCTCAAAGAGGGCTTGCTGCTGCCTTCATACGACTACATGGACTTTGATGTTCTTGATGTGAGTCATTCGGTTGTGCTTGATACGAGTAGGGGGGACTGGGTGCGAGTCCAGCAGAGGATGGCAATGATAAGGACAACGAGGGAGTGCTGCTGCCTTTTTTAGAATTCTCAAAAAGGGCGCGCTGCTGCCATCATACGACTACACAGACTTTGCTGTTCTTGATGTGAGTTCACGCAGCTGGGGTTGGTGTAGTGTGCTGGATGTAGTCTGCTGGATGTAGTCTGCTGGATGTAGTGTGCTGGATGTAGTGTGCTGGATGTAGTGTGCTGGATGTAGTCTGCTGGTTGGTTGGTGTAGGACCAACCAACCCCAGCTAGGTCTGCTGGTTGACTTTGGTGTCTTTAAGTTCACACTGGTGGCCACCAGTGAGAGAGCCAACCCTTTCCTTACCTTGCTCTTCCCTGTCGGCCCTCTCTCCCTGTCGGCCCTCTCTCCCTGTCGGCCCTCTCCCCCTGTCGGCCCTCTCCCCATGTCGGCCCTCTCCCCCTGTCGGCCCTCTCCCCCTGTCCCACTCCGCTCCGCTAGGTGCTCGCCAACTTTGAGAAGACTTTTGAGGACTCGTGGCCAGTGGGTCCAGGCTCGGAAGACAGCATCGACGCTCCCCGATGCTACATGTGCAGGTACGTTCGTGCCGAACCTACATGCGCAGGTGTGGCCATACCGGAACCCAGATGCATGTTTTGAACCAGATGGTTCGGAACTTCCTCGAGCTCTAGACCATTTGCCCTAATCTCACCCGTATTTAAATATTAAATTTATTTATCCAACCCACCCTCCTCTCCTCCCTGTCACTACCTGTTCTTTGCCTTCTCCTCTCCCCTACCTTCTCACACTCTCCCTCCCCCTACCGGCACCCTTTCCGCCTTCTCTTCCCTCCCACCCACGTCACCCACTACCCTCCTCACCCACTCCCCCCGCATGCCATTTATCCACTTAACCCGCCCTACCTGCACTATCTCAGGTACAACCGCGAGTGTGGGCGGCGCAGGGAGTGCACGGGCAAGTGCTGCGGGTACTGCCTCAAGACCCCCCTGCACCTGCTTGCCGGCTCCATCCCCCTGCGGGACGCCGATGCCGCGTATGAGGGTGCGGCACAGAAGCTGCTGCAGGAACAGAGGAAGGCCGCTGAGAGCGCAGAGGCATAGGCTCCTGGGGAGTTTCACGGGGTGGGTGGGCCTGCGGCTGAGGGGAAACCCTCAACCATCCCCCTGCGCAACGTCAATGTTGTGTATGAGAGTGTGGCACAGAAGCTGCTGCAGGAACAGAGCAAGGCTGCTGAGAGTGCTGAGGCATAGAAAGTGTTCCAGGATGTGTGAGTGGGTGGGCAGGTGCGCGGACCTTGGGTGGTGGGCATGAGCAGGGAAGGTGGGCAAGAGGTGAGTCGCCGGGTGGGCCGGACCGAAACCATTCCCAGTGTGTCTTGCGAACAAATTGTTGCTGATTTTTACCGCCTCATGAGTAGACGGTGTACAGTAGAAGCTGGGAGGGAGGCAGGCAGGCAGGCTTTTTGGATGCTGACTTGGCTTACGGTGAAAATAGGCATTTATTGACAATGTTACAGCAACATTGGTGAATACATGTAACAGTACGCTAAGTGCTTCATCAATTCTGGAAGCAATAATGGGGCCCACTCACAATGCATAGAAAAGAGGAAGAGGGTTTTTAGGAGATTGCCCTGGGTATTCTTGCATTGCTCCACCAAATAAAGACCCAGACCAGCAACTCCTCACAGCACCAGCAGCAACTCCTCACAGCACCAGCAGCAACTCCTCACAGCACCAGCAGCAACTCCTCACAGCACCAGCAGCAACTCCTCACAGCACCAGCAGCAACTCCTCACAGCACCAGCAGCAACAAATGGGCAGCAGACCTGATGCATCCCAAGTCAGAAGAGGTCAATGCACTGCCTCCAGCAGTCTTCTCATCCCACTCCACCCCACCCCATCCCACCCCACCCCACCTCATCCCACCCCATCCCACCCCACACCACCTCATCCCACCCTGGTATTGTCCTCCGTATGAACCCCGTACCCCTCCTGCTTTCGCTCCTGGGCTTGTGATGCTATTCTACGCAGTTAGATCTTTTGAAATCCCTGGGTTTGGATTTGAGAAGCTTAAGCCCACTAAGATTTTCCAGATAGAGAGCTTCTATGAGCCTTGATACGTAAGGTTTCAAACCAGGCTCAGGAGCAGCAGTCACAATCGAAGCAGCCACACAACGTGGTGCCGCCAGCGGTCCTCTTGTTCCACCCTCACCCCTCCCCTTTGCAAACCCTACACCACTCCTTGTAAACCCCACACCCCTCCTTGTAAGTCTTACACACCTCTTTGTGAACCCTACACTCCTTTTCTTTGTAAACCCTCCACCCCTCCTCCTTGTAAACCTTACACCTCTCCTCTTTGTAGACCCTACACCCCTCCTCCGTGTAAACCCCGCCTCCTTGAAACCCCTGTACCCCCTTCTTGCTTCGGGCATTTCTCAGGCATTTCTCTGAGTGCGTCGAACCAAACCCCTCAAGCCAGGCTAAGAAGCGCAGTCGAAGGAGCACAGCGCAGTGCCTCCAGCACTCTTCTTGTTCAACCATAGCTGCTCCTCATTGTAAATCCTATACCCCCCCCTCCTAAACCCTTCTAAACCCTGACCTAAACCATAACCTAACCGAAACCCTGAACCCCCCTCCTTCTAAACCATGTACCCCTTGCTGCTTCGGCTTCCTCCGGCGTCTCTCTGCGCGCCTCAAACCACGCTCAGAAGCAGCAGTCGCAGTCGAAGGGGCACAGCGCGGTGCCGCCAGCGCTCTTCTTGTTCCACCCTAGCTCGTCCTCCTTGTAAACCCTATACCCCTCCTCCGTCCGCTTCCTCGGCTTGATTTCTGCGTCCAAGCCACTTCCACTGCTTTTTTCTTTCTTCTTCCCTTTTTTCATCGCGGGAAGTTTGTCGTTGCCCTGCTCTTTCAAGTTTCCTTTGCCTTTAGTTCCTTCCTGCCCGCTGCCCGCCGTCGCTTGCTGCTTGCTCTGCTTCGCCTGGTTAAAAATCGCGTCGATGTCGTCACCGGCTCCTCGTTTTCGCTTGTCTCCAGCCGGCGACGGCTGCGACTCCTTCGCAGGCGTCGCATCGAGGGTCGCCGAGTTAGGGTCTGCTGCCGTCACGTCTGCGACCGCTGCGGCTTCAACTGCTAAACCAGCACTTGCGGCATCATCGCCACGCTCTGTAGCCAGCGTTGCTGGATGCTCGGTTGAGTTCGGTTCACCCCTGTTGGGTGCAGTTCCCGCCTTCTTCTTCCCTTGTCTGCCTGCCTTCGAGGAAGTTACCGACGCCATGACTGCGCGGCCGCTTCTAAATTTTCCCGCGCTTCCCATTCTAACTAGTAGCACGCCTCGTTTCGAGTAATCCTGGGGCTCACGCGCGCGTCGAGAATTGCCTATATAAGCTGCTATGTTGTCACGACTACAACGGACCCGCTGGGATGAAGCCGGAATCAGCGAAAGAAAAGATAGCGTAGTAACGGCTTCGCCGCAACGCACAACCCTTGTCCTAGGGAGGGACCAGGAGGACTCGTCGGAGAACTCGAAATCGCGAAACTTGTTGCCGTTCTCGGAGCGAAGTCGCAGGGGGGCACGTAGACGGGCTTGCAACGAGGATTACGCCGGCGCTAATATTCCATAAAACATAGGAGTTACATGAGTGTTTAATCACTAGTTTCCATAAAAGAACACATTCGTACTAGACCACCTACATTCAGCATAATTTCAGGCTTCACCAGCCCCTTTTCTCAATGCTGCTACATACAACAAACATTTTCCACAAGCATATTTCCCTGCTCCAGCCCAGGCCCTTCTGCAACCCTTCCCTAGCAAAGAGTAGCATGTGAAGAGACCTCTGTAACAGGATATTTTAAATCAATCATTCCACCTCTGCTACAGCCTCATTCTCATGCCATCCCATTGTTTCCTTTCCTGCGCATTGAGGACTCGTGACGGGAGGCCTCCCCTCCTTGACCAGTACTCACTCCACCAAAACAACCGGATAAAAAGAAGCGGGCGAGAGGCCACGAGACAAGATTGCCACCGGCACCAAAACCGGCCCCAGACCTGCCCCATACCTGTAGCAGACCTGTCCCGGTCCTGTCCCAGCCCTGTTCCAGAACTGCCTCCTGCTTACGTCTCATTGCAGACACCCATCCTCACAGAACCTTTCCTTTCTCCTCGAGTGAGGCACACATTCCTCATGTCACAACAGCTACCTCCCTCATCCTCCGAATCCCAACCCTTGTCCATCAGACTCCTCTCACATCACTATCCTCCTCTTTCCTCCCCTCTCACATCAATACCCTCCTCGCCTCTGCGGTTGTCGTCCCCCGTAACCTCTCTCATCCCGCCCATACCCATCCCTATCTCTCTCCCTATACGATACATCCCTGTCTCGATACGATCCATCTCTCTCCCTCCCATAATCTCTCCCACCACTCTCCCTATAATCCCTCCCTCCGCCATCCCTCCCATACTCCCACCCGCCTGCACCATCCCTCTCCCTCCCATATTCCCTGCTCCCGCCACTATCCCTCTCCCTCCCATAATCCCTCCCGTACTCCCTCCCATCCCCCCTATCTCGGCTCGAATACTCACTCCTGCCGCCACCACTCCCATAATCATCATCTGAAAACCCTCTGTTCCGCGCCCCCCTTCCTGCTGATTCACTCGTAGGGCTCCGACTCGCAGCTCCCCTCCCCCCTGGTCTTGCACTCCTACCCCCCCCATCATCATCATACATATCATACTGTCCCTTTGCTGCTGATCTCCTCTCCTCATCCAACCCACTTCTCCCCGGACCCTGCTGCTGTTGGGATAACCCCGCATCCCCCTGCTGCTGCAGAGCTGGTATTGTTGGAGACAAGGCAGCAGCAGTTGTAGAACCACCAGCAGCACCAGCACCAGCAGGAGCAGCAGGACTGGCAGCAACAGGAGCGGCAGAGGAGGCGGCGGCGAGTGGGTCGTCAGGGTCCTCTTGGGAGAAGGAGCGGCGGTGGCGGCTGGGCGAGTCTGACGGGGACGCTGCTGGGCTGGCTGCTGCTGCAAGCTCCTCTATTGCCTCCACACACTTGTGCTCGTACCACCAGTCCTCCTGCAGGAGACTGCACAGGATAGATTGGGGAATCAGGTAGGAGAGTCATGTAAGCAAGCAAGACCACTGCTGCTGTTGCTGCGAGCTCCTCTATTGCCTCCACACACTTGTGCTCGTACCACCAGTCCTCCTGTAGGAGACTGTGAGGGCACGGACGAAGGAAGCGTAGGCAGGAAACAGTAGAGACGGGTGACAGGGGGGGGGGGGGGGGGGGGGGGGGGGGGGGGGTAGAGTGTTGCGAGCAAGTGAAGCCACTGCTGCTGCTGCGAGCTCCTCTATCGCCTCTACGCACTTGTTCTCGTACCACCAGTCCTCCTGCAAAAGACTGGGGAGAAGGAGAAGGGGAGAATGGAGGAGAGGGGCCAGGAAGGGGGGGGACAGAAATGCATGTATGGGAGAGCGGGTGCTGCGAGCTCCTCTATAGCCTCCACACACTTGTGCTCGTACCACCAGTCCTCCAACAGTCTGTATCGAATAGAGAGGAGAAGAAAGTAAGCGAGTGTAGTGAGCCAGTGATGCCACTGCTGCTGCTGCCTGTTACTCTATAGCCTCCACGCACTTGCGCTCGTACCACCAATCCTCCAGTAGGAGACTGTGAGGGTGCAGAAGGACCGGGAGGAAATGTAAAGAATGGTTGACGTTGGGGTGGGAGAGAGTGATGTGAGCAAGACAAGCCGCTGCTGCTGCTGCTGCGAGCTCCTCTATTGCCGCTCGTACCACTAGTCCTCCTGTAGGAGACTGCACAAGATAGAAAGGCAAGGAGGAAGGGAGATGGGGGAAGGGGGGGAGGAGAGGGGCAGGGGCAGGGGGGGAAGGGAGGGAGGCACCTAATGGCTTTGCCAGGAAAACACAAATGCACCAACAGGAAGAACACAGAGCATCTGTCCAAACCCAAGCCCTCACCTGTTGGGGTCGCCTCCGGTCTGATCAGTGAAGAGCACGATGGCCTTGGTTGCGCTGTCCTCTGCCACCTTGCGCATGGCCCTGACCTCCCTGCCCCCCTGCACTGACCACACACCAGTGCGGAGTGCTTGGATTGATGGCAACACACACGCACCTGTTGGGATCCCCTCCCGTTTGATCTGTGAACAATACAATGGCCTTGGTGGCGCTGTCCTCTGCCACCTTGCGCATGGCCCGGGAGGAGTACTTGCCTGCCTTGGCCACCTGCATCACGAAATACATGTCAAACACCAGCTGGAGGAGGGGAGAAGCGGTGGGGGAAGGGGGGAAGAAAGAGATAGGTTAGAGAGGGTGACCAAAGTGCGCATGGCCAGGGAGGAGTACTTGCCTGCCTTGGCCACCTGCATCACGAAATGCATGTCAAACACCAGCTGGAGGTTGGAGAAAGGGGGGAGGGGCGTTGGAGGGCGGGGGGGAGGGGGGAGATGGGGCAGAGCGGAGAAAGGGAAGACAGATCAATCAGAAGGCACCTTGGCTTGTACATGCCGAGCACCAATTGTAGAGTGGGAGAAACAGGGGCGTGTGGGGGAAGAGGGGAATGAAGGGACAGGAGAGGGAGAGTGAGTGTTTGGGTTCAAATGTGTGCATTGCCTGTATGGCCCGGGAGGATTACTAGCCCGCCTTGGCCACCTGCATCACAAAATACATGTCAAACACCGGCTGGTGGGGGGACGGGAGGTGGTGTGGGGAGAGGAGAAAAGCAGGCAGCAAGAAAATGAGTGGGTTCGGCTTCATTCGCACATACTCCGGAGGAAAGGAACTCCGCCTTGGCCCCTGCTCCTGATGCCCACATAAACACACGGATATCCATGCCGTATGTGGCTGCACGCCATGACCCTAGCATCAGCCACTGCGCGAGTGAGCCACCTCCACTACCCACTCTTCTATCCTCCTCATGCACCACCGATGCTCTCCCTCTCGCCCACCCATCACCCCATCCCTGCACACAACATGACACAAGTGACGCACCTGCTGCAAGCCTGTAGGCCTGAGGGCGTATTCAGCGTTTTCGAGCTCTTCCCAGAAGGAGCTGTAGACCATGAGGCCCATCATGAGCCACTCGGCGAGGCTGGCACCTGCGACCTCCCCCACAACCCTCCTGAAGCGATAACAGTCACACACAAAGGCGCACCTGCTGCAGCCCTCGGCCCCAGAGCATATTCAGCGTTCTCCAGCTCGTCCCAGAAGGAGCTGCAGACCATAAGGGGCCCATCGTGAGCCACTCCGCGAGGCACGCACCTACCCCAACTGACTTTCGAACTAACACACCTGCTGCAGGCCCGTGGGGCCGAGAGCGTATTCAGCGTTCTCCAGCTCGTCCCAGAAGGAGCTGTAGACCATGAGGCCCATCATCAGCCACTCTGCGAGGCGCATGAGTAGCAGAGTGACCACGCGGTCGCGCCCTCCCAGCACGTACGTGGCGGTGGAATGGATGGAGTGCAGTGCCATGTACAGCGCCTAGGGAGGAGGGGAGAGAGAGGGGATGTTGGTGGGGAGGGGAGGGGAGGAAGTGTATGTTTGATAGCAGCACCAGGCAGAAGAATCACCACGCGGTCGCGCCCTCCCAGCACCGCGCCCTCCCACAAATACATGGCGGTTGAACGAATGGAGTGCAACGCCATGTACAGCGCCTGGGGGGGATGGGAACATGGGATGATGAAACAGATAAAGGTGCGTGTTAGGTAGGGGGTGGGCACATAATAGCAGCACCAGGCAGCATGCAGAAGCGTCACCACGCGGTCACGCCCTCGCAACCCATCCCAGTACATTTGTGGCGGATGAGTTGGGTGGATTAAGTGCAGAGCCATGAAGAGGGCAGTGAGATATGCGTGTTAGCAAAGTCCTGGATGGCTAGCCTAATGCTGACCTGGACAGAGCAGATGCTGACCTGGAAGGGCGGCGAGGGGAGGGGCTTGAGCGCCCACTGCGTGGGGCGCATCTTGGCGTCCATGTGAAGGTACTGGTGTGCGGTGAGGATGGGCTGGCAAACGCTGACCTGACTAACACCCACTGGCCTGGACACCACACGCTTACCTGGAAGGGAGGCGAGGGCAGGGGCTTGAGGGCCCACTGGGTGGGGCGCATCTTGGCGTCCATGTGCAGGTACTGGTGCGCGGTGAGGATGGGCTGGCCGTCGTGGCCGTACATGAACTCCGCCACGAGGCACGAGCAAAGCACGTCCCTCAGCTTGTCCACCGCCTTCTGTAGCCGCCTCCGCCACTCCTTGTGCTCCGCCGCGTTGCTGCGAGAGATGGGAAAGGGGTAGGGGGAGGGAAGCGGGGGGGTGCCCCGGTCGAGAGAGTGGAGAGGGGAGGGGGAGGGGGGAACGTGGGAATGAGGGGGAACGGGGTGGGGAGGTGGGAGAGGGAATGGGGGGTGGTTGGGTGGGGGTGCGGTTGAGGGCCCCACCCACAAACATTGGAGCACAGCACGTCCCTCAGCTTGTCCACCGCCTTCTGTAGCCGCCTCCGCCACTCCTTGTGCTCCGCCACTCCTTGTGCTCCGCCGCGTTGCTGCCACAGGGAGAGACGGGGGGACAGGGGAAGGAGAGGTGGGAGAGGGAATGGGGGGTGGTTGTGGCTGGGGTTGAGGGCCCCACCCGCGAGGCACGAGCACAGCGCGTCCCTCCGCTTATCCACCGCGTTCTGTAGCCGCTGCCGCCACCACTCCTTGTGCTCCGCCATGTTGCTGCCACAGGGAGAGACGGGGAGGGGGGAAGGGACGACGAGGGAGAGGGAGTGGGAAGGCGGGGACTCGTGAGTCGACTCAACAGTGAGCCCGTGGCGCCACTGCCTGTGCGCTGCCATGTTACCAAGAGTTGTATGGCTTGGTGCATTCAGATGGCTGTAGGAAAGGAACAAATCCGTGGCTTTGGGGTTTGGCTGGTCCAAGGGAGATTCCACTCCCACGGTCAACACAGCAGGACGAGACAACAGAGGGGACCCAGAGCCAAAAAGAGAAAGAGAATTGAGAGCATTAAGAGCAAGGGAGAGAACGTACCGTCCGCCAGCAGACAGCCTCCTGTCTGGATCCGCCCCGCCCTGCTTCCTCCCCCCTCGCCCCCCGCCCCCGCCGCCTTCCTCCCCAGCAGCCAGCGTGAGCCGCTGAGCCAGCCTCGGCAGCAGATCATCCGCGAGAGCCGACGCATTCCCCAGCAGCGCCAGCTGCTGCTGCTCGTCCTCCGCCGTCCGCACACTGCCGTCCTGCCACGGCTCCTCCCCGTTCTCCTTCTCCCCTCCCTTCTCCCCGCCCTTGCCTCCTTCCCCCCCGTTCCCCTCGTCCTCCTCCTCATCGTCGTCGGAGGGCGAGGGGAGGGCCTTTTGCAGGAGGGCGACGTAGGACTCGAAGAGGGATGCCAGGCGGTCGAGAATGCGACCAAACAGCTGCAGGCTGATCACTGGTAATATGTCCTCCACCAGATCCTGATGTGCGGCGGGGAGGGATGGGGTGGGATTGGGTGGGTGGAGGGTGGAATGAGGGGAAAGAGCAGGCCCTTTCGCAGGAGGGCGACGTAGGACTCGAAGAGGGACGCCAGGCGGTCCAGGATGCGGCCAAACAGCTGCAGGCTGATCACTGGTAGGATATCCTTCACTAGGTCCTGGTGTGTAAGGAGGGAATGGGGGGGGTGGAAGGGAGTATCTTTAAGACACAGAGGGCGACGGGAGGGCCTTCTGCAGCAAGCAGGGCGACGTAGGATTCCAAGAGCGAGGCTAGGCGGTTGAGAATGCGGCCAAAAAGCTGCAGGCTGATCACTGGCAATACGACCTCCACTAGATTCTGATGTGTGGCGGGGGGTTTGGAAGGGTGGGATGGGTGAGGGGTAAAGTGAGGATCGAGGACAGGGCCTGCTGCAGCAGGGCGACGCAGGACTCGAAGAGGGAGGTTAAGTGGTTAAACCCAATTCACCCTCCGTACCCACCCACCACCACTCACTACGCGCAAGAGGTAAAGGGGCTGGCCTAGCGTCTGCTGCAGCGCGCGCACCCTGCCAGCGGCAGCAGCCCTTTCTTTGGCAAGCTCATACACAGACCACACACATCAACCCCACACCTCCTCCTAATTCCATCCATACACGTCCCCAGCACTCACCACGAGCAACAGGTAGAACCTCTGGCCGCTGCTGGACAGCCTCAGGTGCATCAACCCCGGCCCCAGCGTCTGCTGCAGCGCTCGCACCCTGCCCGTGGCAGCAGCGCCGTGGGGCAGAGGCAGCAGCACCCAGTCGTCCACGGCCACCATGGTGGCCACCGAGTCCTCTATGCGGATGATGTTGAACTCCAACGCCTCCTCCACACTGGGGCGCACCAGCTTGGAGAGCACTGGAGACAGGGTCAGACCCTGCTCTTCCAATAGTCTGCAGGGGAGGAATTGGGAGGGGAGGGGCAGCACGGCACAGGGGTCAGCACGGTATGGGGGGCAGCAGCACCCAGTCATCCACAGCCACCATGGTGGCCACCGAGTCCTCTATGCGGATGATGTTGAACTCCAACGCCTCCTCCACACTTGGTCGGACGAGTTTTGACAGCACAGGGGAGAGTGTAAGTCCTTGCTCTTCCGGTAGCCTCCAGGGGAGGGGGTGCAGGGGAAGCGGCAGCACGGCACAGGGGTCAGCACGGTATGGGGGGCAGCAGCACCCAGTCATCCACAGCCACCATGGTGGCCACCGAGTCCTCTATGCGGATGATGTTGAACTCCAACGCCTCCTCCACACTTGGTCGGACGAGTTTTGACAGCACAGGGGAGAGTGTAAGTCCTTGCTCTTCCGGTAGCCTCCAGGGGAGGGGGTGCAGGGGAAGCGGCAGCACGGCACAGGGGTCAGCATGGCATGGGGGAGGGACAGCAGCAGCCAGTGGTCAACATGGGGGACAGCACCCAATCGTCCACGGCCACCATGGTAGCGACAAGGTCCTCTATGCGGATGATGTTGAACTCGAGGGCCACCCCCACACTGGGGCGCACCAGCTTGGAGAGCACTGGGGAGAGAGAGCGTTGGCCCCTGCTCCTCCAATAACCTGAAGGAGAGGGGTTCCAAAGGGAGTCGAACGGAGCGCTTGAGCCCCACGCACCCACATGGGTCCAACCAATTCCCCACCCAACTGTAACCACCTGCCGTGCCCACGGGCAATGCACGCATGAAGCTCCAACTGCCAACACAGGGGCGCACGCAGCACCCACCCACATGCTAGCCACCAGCCACCCACCTGCCACCCACCTGCCACCCACCTGCCACCCACCTGCACCGTCCCATCCCAGCACCCACCCACCTGCAGTGGACCAGAGCAATGCGCATGCATTCAGCAGCAGCGTGCAGCCCGCCAGCAGCAGCAGCGTGCAGCCCGCCAGCAGCAGTAGCAGCAGCACGGGAGAGGACGTGGCGCTTGAGCAATGTGTGTGAGAAGCACCCACCTGCAGTGACCAAGCATCCACCCACCTCCTGCAGTACACGCACCCACTTCCCACCCACCCACCCACCCACCTGCAGTGACCAAGAGCGATGCGCACGCATTCAGCAGCGGCATGCAGCCCGCCGGCAGCAGCAGCAGACGAGAGCACGTGGCGCTTGAGCAGCGACACACAGAACTCCGTCTCCCTCTGCGCCCACAGCAGCAGGTCCGCCGCGCATGCTGGGTCCGACGCGAATATGCGCGCCGAGTCAGTGGCCGCCTGGGAGATGGCCGAAAACACCAGCTGGGGGGGTAGTGGGGGGAGGGAGGGATTGGGGGGTTGGGGGAGAGCGGAAATGGGGTCTGGGGCGAGAACACCAGCTGGGGGTATGGAAGGGGAGGGGGGAGGTGGGGAGGGAGGGAAGGGGGGGGGTCGGAGAGGAGGGATGGAGGGGAAGAGGTGAGAAAATTGATGCAAGACCTCACAAAATGCTGTGAGCTGTCACCGCCTGGGGAGAAAAGTGGGGGAAGCAATCGGGAAAGGGGAATGGGGACGAGGGAGAGACACGTTAAGTCACCCACCCGTGACCATTCCAGGACCTTCACCCCCGTGTTCCCACCACCACGCCCTCCCCTCCACCACGCCCTTCCCTCCACCACGGCCTCCCCCTTCCCACGCTCCCTCTCCCCACGCACTCACCTGCGCCAGGGCAGCAGTGTACGCGCCGCCAAAGCTGGTCCCGCGGGGGCGCAGCAGGCGGGATCCGCTCCTAATCCGCTCCCCGTACGCGCCCAGCAGCAGCTGGTGCGCGCGCTCGGTCTCCCCCAGGCGGTACAGCGCGCCCACGGCCTGCCGCAGCTCCTGCCCGCGCACAGCCGCCTGCTGCGCCGTCTCCTCCAGCTGTGCCATCAGCCACGCGCGCCTCTCCGCGATCGCCGCCGCCAGCGCGTTCGCCGCGTCCGCGCTCAGGATCTCCTCGTCCTCCCCGCCCCCACCGTGCCCCCCGCCCCCTTTCCCCCCGCCTGCGCCCCCGCCCGCCCCGTCCCCTGCTGTCGCCAGCGCCAGCTGCACAATCTGCTGCCCTTGCTCCAGCAGCTCTATAGCGCGGTCGACCTTCCGCTCCGCTATAAGAATATCCAGTATATCCGGGAGCGCCTCCGCATATTTCTCAATCTCGGTGGGCTCGGGGACCTCCACGCTCCAAATCCGCTCGTCCTCTTCCTCGTCCTGCTGCGGGGTGGCTAACGAGGACGCGTATGACGAAGCACCGGCGAAGGTAGACGAAGTACCAGCGGTGGTAACCGACGAAGTGGTAGACGCAGGAGTCGAACCCCCACCACCCCCACCCGCGGAAGCGCTATTACTGTTATCATTGTTCATGCTATCCGCGGCGAGGGAGTGGATGAGTGCGGTCTGCACGGACAGGAGGTTCTTCATCTGCTGCAGCTCGACTTCCAGCTCCGCGATCTCCTTGGACGTGCCGATGAACGCCGTGTAGTTGGCGAACACGCTCTTGCGCATCTCGTCCGCCGACACCCGCCGGTAGTCCGCCAGGTCCCCCACCAGCAGCCGCACGCCCTGGGAGGCGCAGGGGAGGAGGGGGGGCGCACGGGAGAAGGCAGGGATGGGAGCACGGGTAGATGCAGGGAAGGGAATAAGGAGGGATGCGGGGAGATGAACAAGGAAGATGGGAATAAGGCTGTATAATTAGAGCAGGCGGGGAGAGCGGGGAGGGAAAGTGGAGCTCATGCTCATGCCACGTACCCGCTCGTCCATGATCTGCATCTGGTCGTCCACATACTTCTCCGCGTCGAACTTGTCGTGCGAGAAATTCATCTTGCCGACTCACTGCCACGCCGAATGCCCGCGGGATGAGAGAGCCTCGAGACGCGATACAAACCAATAGTACGTAGCGCTCAGCGGCGGTTCGCAATTAATCGAGGAAACCCTAATCGTGGGTGGCACACCGGACCTGGAGCTGGAACGCGAAGGGCTAGACGTGTATCCTGCGGTAAAACAATTAATGTCTTGTCCTGTGGTAAATTAAACCTAATTCTAGCGCTGGTGAATATTCGCTGGCCGAAGGTCGGGAAACCGAGAAATGGAATTAAAGAGTTTTTACAATAACGGAAAGAAACCTAAAACTCGAAATTCTGAGTACAAGGTACTGACTTTCGCACGAAGCTAACCAAGTCGCCGCCATGCTACCATCGAGTTACGAGTCTGCCTGACGTTAACGAGCCGATGAGTGGAGGCGCCGCCACTGCGGCAACGCCATGGTAACTAGAGAGACATCAGCTACGCGCGGACTGTGAAGCTAAAAGGTAAAACTCCGGCATAATGAAAATGTCTCACGACTCGACACGTTGCGGACCAGCAGCACCAGCAAGACGAGCGTCTTCGCCCGCTAACGCCTCCGTCAAAAGAAATTAACTCTGGCGAATGGTGAAAAGGCAGCTATCTAGTAAATTATTTTACGGTTGACCCTCCCTGACGCCAGTAATGGCTGCTATTCGAAACACGTAGGCGAGAATGGCATCCAGCAGACTGCGCACTAATCAAATTGCCATCATCAGCCTGATGCTGCTTTTTGTGCCTTGGGAACTCCAGACCAGCCAGCACCAACCTTGGGAACTCTGGTCTGGAGTCTGGACTACGGTGACCAGGGCACCTGCAGCCCTGCGGGTGCAGGAGCCAGTAGTGTAGACCGCTGAGCATGCCTATTGGGATTTGATCTGTGAAATTTTCAAGCTTGCTACGAAGAAGTTGTTATCGAGTAAGTATAGAGTTGACTTCGGCCACCAAAGCGTTGACATTGACCGCCTACGTCAATTCCCCCCACATGGGTTCTTTGACGTAATCGGCAAAGTTGGCATTGCTACATGAAGAAAATTACAGTCATGCTACCTGCAGGTTAAAGCTGTCGCCTACATACCTCCTGCGGGAGGCCTAGGTTTATCACTTGAAAACACGGTTGCACTGAGCTTCGCTCCAACCTTGAGTGGCGAGGTGGAGTTACTGCACCTTGACAGCACAACCTTTCCTCTGGAAATTGGGTGAAACAGGATTGGCTTCTAATCTGCTCCCCAACTCGGATTGGTTGCACGTGTTGGCGAAATCGCCAACACAACCCAATCCTCCCGAAATAATTACCCCCCAACCGAACCTTTCACGAAACTGGCGGGATTCGCCAGCTCTGTTTGAAACATTCGCGCGCTCATTTCTGGAAAAGAGTCATTTCGTTCCCCAATCAGCATGCGTCCTAGGGTGTGCACCCGAAATACCCTCCGAAAATACATTTTCGTATGTAGACCGCAGCTTTAAACGAAATTACAGTCATCATGTCATCTTTCACTCTCAAACCCAAAATCCAAAACAAATATATCAACCCATATCTACAAACCTAGCCCTTGCTAAACCCTTAAGCGCAGCCTTTTCCCCTTGGCTTCCATCCACACATAATTCCTCAAAAAAGCCCGAGCCTGCAGCCTGACCATAGGAGGGCACGTGGCGGCAGCAGTGGTGGATTTTGAGAATCCTTTTCCCCTTGGCTTCCATCCGCGAATGCAAATCGAGATTTCTCGCTAGTGCCCGAGCCAGCAGCCTGACCAGCGGAGGGCACGTGGTGGCAGCAGTGGTGGGTTTCAAGACTCCCAAAGATAACAGGCGCAGCCTTTTCCCCTTGGCTTCCTCTCGCGAATGCAAATCGAGATTTCTCGCTAGCGCCCGAGCCAGCAGCCTGACCAGCGGAGGGCACGTGGAGGCAGCAGTGGTGGGTTTCAAGACTCCCAAAGATCACAGGCGCAGCCTTTTCCCCTTGGCTTCCTCTCGCGAATGCAAATCGAGATTTCTCGCTAGCGCCCGAGCCAGCAGCCTGACCAGCGGAGGGCACGTGGCAGCAGCAGCGGTGGCGCGAATTGTACGTGAAGCTCCGGTGTCGGAGAGGAGGTTGATGTGGTGGGTGGTGTGGCGGGCGTCGGGCATGGTGAGTTGCAGGAGAGCAAAGGCTGCACATGCGCGCAGCGAGGGGGAGGTGCTTCGCAGCATGGCGACGAAGCGAGCAATCTCGGCCGCACTGAGGGAGGGGGAGTGGGAAAGGAAGGGGAGATGAGTGGAGTGGACCTTTGAATCGACTCAGAAGCAGAAAGCAGAAGCCCTGCCCACCCTGTACCACAACACTCACCCCATAGCACATCTCTCACCTGCATCTGAGCAGACCCGCCTCCTGAATGCGGCAGTTCTGGGAGAACTCCATCAGTGCAGCATCATCTGCTGCTGCCAGCCGTGCTCCCAGGTGCCGCGTGAATCCCGCCGACATGGGCGGTGGCAGATCACCTGAACCAGCACCTGAAGAAACACCTGAAGCGTTGGACGGCCCAGGAGCAGGGGAGGTGAAAGTGCAGGTGCGGCTGTTCCGAGCCGCAGAGCCAGGTGTGGCCGAGCCTGTGGCCCCTCGACCCAGCACCAAACCATCCTCTTCCTCCTCATCAGAGTCTAATTCAATCGTTTCTCTCCGTCGCCCTCTCCCGCGCCCTCTCCTTGCCCGTCGGCTTCTGGTTGCTGCTGCTGTTCCAGGCAACCTATCCTCCTCATTCTCCTCCGCCTCTTCCTCCCCTTCCTCCACCTCCAACACCGAAGCCCTCCTCTTTCTTGACCCTCCCGCTCTCTGCCTGCTCCCTCTGCTCCAAAACTCCCCTTCCCCCTCCTCCTGCATCGCCCTCCTCCTCTCCCGCTCCCTCTCCCTCACTCTCTCCCTCGCCTGCTCTGCCTCCTCGCGTTCGTGTAGGAAGCATCTCAGAAACCAGTCAATGACGTGCAGGCCAAGCTGCTGCTGCAGCTGCAAGGTTAGGGGGTAGTCCAGATCAGGCACCACTGCTTCTGCCGCTGCCAACATTTCGGCATCTTTGCTGCAAGACGGAGATGGAAGCAGGGGGGTGGGTAGACACAGGGGTGAGTCATCTCAGGAACCAGTCAATAACGTGCAGACCAAGCTACTGCTGCAAGGTTAGGGGGTACTCCAAGCCACTGCTTCCGCCGCTGCCACCATTTCTGCTTCTTTGCTGCAAGACGGCGAATGAAGCAGGGTAGGAGAGAGAGGTAAGTGAGTGATTGAGCAAACAGCTAAGGAGGCTCAAACGGCTTTGCTGCAAGCAGGGTTTTGCGGGTACTCTGGCTCAGGCGCTGCTGCCTCCGCCGCTGCACTGAAACCATTTCGGCATCTTTGCTGCAAAACAGAAAACGAAGCAGAGTAGGAAGGGAAGCATCTCAGAAACCACTCAATGACATGCAGACCACACTGCTGCTGCAGCTGCAGGATAGGGGATACTCTAGACCAGGCACTGCTGCTTCTGCCGCTGCCACCATCTCTGCATCTTTGCTGCAAGACGGAGAAAATGGAGCAGGGATGGAAGAAGATTAATAAAGGAGGTCATAAAGGAGCCTCAAACAGTAATGCTGCCAAGCAGGGATGGGGAGGGATGATAATATGGGCATGCAAGGAGGAAAGGTATTCAACCATAGAAGGGGAGACTTTTGAGTCAATTCAGTCAACACACGCCAAGCCGCGTGCTTTGAGTCGATCAAAACCTACCTGCCATCGCACATGTATGCTAGAGCAAGAGACACCATAAATCCAGCCATGGGAGACGAGAAAATACGTCCCAACCCAACCCACGTGGTGTTTTTGACTCAGAACCTACCTGCCATCGCACATGTATGCTAGAGCAAGAGACGCCATGAATCCAGCCATGGGAGACGAGAAAATACGTCCCAACCCAACCCACATGGTGTTTTTGACTCAGAACCTACCTGCCATCACACATGTATGCTAGAGCAAGAGACGCCATGAATCCAGCCATGGGAGACGATTTCCAACCAACACCGTCGGCAGGAGAACGAGCAGCAGCGGCAGTAGCAGCAGCATCGGCATCGGCAACAGCAGCACGGATTGCAGCAGTAGTCGCAGCAGCACCGGCACCGGCGGCAGTGGCAGCAGCAACAGCATGAAGGGCAGCCGCTGCTGCTGCGTCAGCAGCAGGGAGGTTGCGATTGTTGGGTAGAACAGGATGGAGAGGGAGTGTGCGGGCAGGGGGAGGAGGGGGGGGCTGCGGCAGCAGCTCGTGCCAGGCAAAGCCATCAATGGTAGCAACAGCAGAACCAGCACGACCAGCAGCAGAACCACCACCAGCACGGCCACCAGCAGCACCGGGAGCACCAGCAGGGGTTGTTGAAGATGGAGTAGGGTGGGCAGTGGTGGTGCTTCTAGGATTGGATGTTGAGGAAGGGGAGTAGGAGCAAGTGGGGGAGGGGGGGGCTGAGGAGAAGTGGGAGAGGGCGGAGGGCGGCAGGGAGGCAGCAATGATTGCGCCCATGATGGGTACGCCACTGTTGACAAGAATGCGGGCGGCGTTGCTTGGATTAAAGGCTAGATTCCAGAGTGCGCCGGTGGCCGTCTCTTGGACCTCCTGTGGGGGAAGCGGGGAAGGATGGGGAAGGAAGGAAAGAATGGGGAGTATGGTTCAAATGAAAGGACATGGCACACCATGGAAGGGAACAAAGGTGTGGGAACCAGCGGTGTGGAGAAAACAACCCCCAGTGTTGGTGGAAAAACGCCGTACATACAAGCTGCACTCCACTCATCCATAGAACCCTAAACCCGCAATCAACGCGTCCCCGTGCTGCACTCATGCCATGCTACCCAATCATGCCCACTGCATGCCCATGCCCCCTCACGCCACACTGCATGGGCGCACACAACTACCCTCATTCTGCATTCACCCCATGCCACCCCCTCAACCCCGCACCCCATGCAGCACTGCTCGCACCTGCTTGCGAGACTGGGCCAGGCTGAGCAGAGTCTCCATCCCACCCGCCCGACCAATGGCCACACTGCATGGGCGCACAGCACACAACACCACGGCAACGGGAGGAATCAGGGCTTCGTTATTAGACAAGGGCTTTAGGCACGGAGGGGGTTCGGTCTCAGATGCGGGGTATGCAACCACCATGGACGCACCTGTTGGCTTCAGACACAGAGAGGCCCCACTGGGCGCCAGCTGCTCGCTCCTGCGTGTCCTCTGCTGCTCCGGGGAGGCACGACTCCTGGGCCAGGCGAACCAGCGCCTCTACCACTCCCCTACCCTGCTGCTCTAGTGAGAGACAACCCAGTATTTGACACACACCTGTTGGCTTCAGACACAGACAGCCCCCAAAGGGCACCGGCTGCTCGCTCCTGTGTGTCCTCTGCTGCGCCGGGGAGGCACGACTCCTGGGCCAGGCGAACCAGCGCCTCCACGCCCCCCGCTGATGCGATTGCCTCCCTGTTGCCCTCGTGGAATGATAAATTCCAGAGCGCCCCTGCTCCCTCTTGCCTGCACGTCGTATGGCAGGGGGCGATGGGGGCAAGGAGAGAGGAGAGAAGGAGTTTTTGCTGCCGCGATGGCCACCCTGTTGCCCTCGTGGAATGATAGATTCCAGGGCACCCCTGCTCCCTCTTGCCTGTGCTGAGCGGGGGAGATTAGTGGGGAGTGGAGAGAGAGGAAAGAAGGGAACGCTTCACTTGGAGTACGGAGTTGCTGCTCTAAATGCTGCGGCGTTCGCCTTTCTGTCACACCCGCCCATCATATGCTTTCATTCGGGGCCCTGGCGGCCTGCTCAAGCAGGAGGTCGCGGCGGCACCCCACCAGCAGCTCAGCTCCCCTTACTGTCACACCCCACCCACCTTAAGGCTTCATTGGGGGATTGCAGCAGCGCCACCAGCGCAGGGACGGCAGTGGGTTCTGCCCCCACAGCAGCAGAGTTGCGGTTGCAATCGCCGTGAGCAGCAAGGTTAGCGAGAGCCCTGGCGGCCTGTTCAAGCACGAGGTCGTGTTGGCACCCCACCAGCACACGCACCAGCTCCACCACCCCTCCATGCACTCTCCTTACAACCACACACACCCCACCCACCTTAAGGCTTCATTGGGGGATTGCAGCAGCGCCACCAGCGCAGGGACGGCAGTGGGTTCTGCCCCCACAGCAGCAGAGTTGCGGTTGCAATCGCCGTGAGCAGCAAGGTTAGCGAGAGCCCTGGCGGCCTGTTCAAGCACGAGGTCGTGCTGGCACCCCACCAGCACACGCACCAGCGCCGCCACCCCTCCCCGCTCCACTATGGCCGTGCTGCACCCGTCATCCACTGCTAGATTCGCCAGGGCGCCTGTTACTCGCTCCTGTCCAAGAGGCAGGATGGGGGAGGAGGGGAGGAGGTAGCAACGAGGGAAGGACAAATTGCCACTATGGCCGTGCTGCACCCGTCGTCCACTGCTAGATTCGCCAGGGCGCCTGTAACCTGCTCCTGTCCATTTGAAAGAGGGGGGGAGAGGGGGGGAGGAAGTAGCACGGGAGGAACAATTTGCCACTATTATGGCTGTGCTGCAACCATTATCCAGTGCTATCATCTGCTCGTGACCATAGAAGGGTGGGAAAGAGGGGAGGAGGAAAGGGACGGGGGGAGAAGGGAGAGCAGTGACGGGGAGCCAAAAGGGAAGGTTGGAGAGAGCGAAAGGGATTGACAAAACGACAGAAGGGGGCAAACCTGGAACACACACATTGCATGATATAAACCGCCAAACAATGGACGAGGGGGAAGGGTCACGAGGGGAGGAGGAGTCAATAAAGATTCATCAAGAGAAGCAAAGACAGAAAGAGAGGACGACAAGGTGAAGAGGAGGCTTGGAGAGGAGGATCGGAGGATAGGAGGAGAGGAGGGTGCGAGGACTCACGGGAACACAGTCCCCTGGGAGGCCAAGAGCAAGAGGAGGAGCGGTGGGCATGAGAGGAGGGGCGGGAAGAGAGAGAGGCACGAGGGGAGGAGGGCAGGCAGAGAGGAGGACTCACGAGGACACAGTCCCCTGGGAGGCCAAGAGCAGGAGGAGGCGAGGTGGCCATGAGATCAACCAGTGTGGCGATGCCCCCTGCCCGCATGATGTATGCCTGAAGGGAACAGGGAAGGGCAGAAAGAGGGGGGGAGGCAGGAAGAGCTGTCTAGAACGTTATGTGGGGAAGGGATGCGATGGGGTAAAAGGGAACCTTTCGAGTAGCTGGGCAACTGTTGGCTTCTGAGTCGACCCTAAAACACACGCACCTTGTATGTACCACTTATGGAATTTCTGAAAGGTAGACATCAAACCCACACCGACCCACCTTGTATTCATCCACTGATAGGTTCCAGAGCGCCCCTGCAGCAGCCAACCCCACTCGGGCCACTCCCCCCACTCTCACCACCTCCCTTGAGACGAGTCCGTACCCACGCACCCACCTTGTACTCATCGACTGATAGGTTCCAGAGCGCCCCTGCAGCAGCCTTGGCTATACAGCAGTTGGAGTGAGCGAGAAGTGTTAACCTTTCGTGTCAAGTTGACACTGTCAACTCACGAGTCATTGCAATGACCCACCCACCTTGTACTCATCTACTGATAGGTTCCAGAGCGCCCCTGCAGCAGCCTCGGCGATACAGGCGTTGGCGTGAGCGAGGAGAGATAGCAGCACGCCCACTCCCCCCACCCTCACCACCTCCCTTGCCAAGTCTGCACTCACTGACAGATTCGCCAGGGCCTGGTGTGTGGGGAGGTGGAGGGGGAAAAGGGAGGGGACGGGGTGGGTTGACAGGGTGTTTAGATTAGTAACTGTCAGCATGTCCGTACAACAACCCCATTCACACGGTCACACCCACCCTCACTGCCACATACAAGCCCTCATCCTCCTCACACACCTTAGTCGCCTCGAACCGTGGCCCCTCAGGCCCGTGCCGGCCTGCCATGTGAACCAGCACCTCCACTCCACCGCCTCGCATAAACGCACTCACCCGCCCACTGCTTCCCCCCTCCCCCACTCCCCCACTCTCACCCATCACCATATCCCACCTGTCCCCCTCTCGCCCTGCCCATCCCCTTCCTTCCCCTCCCCCCTCTCCTCCTCCTCCGGCCCCTCCCGCTCCTCTCCACTCCCCTGCCCCCATCCCACCGCCTCCCCCCACCCTTCCCCCTGCTCCTCTCCCACCCTGCCCCGCTCCCACCTCTCCCTCCTCTTCCTCCACCTCCACCTCCACCCCCTCCAACTCCTCCTCCTCGAATCCAGCCCCAATAGAGTCAGCAACAACAAACACCCCCACAGTGGCTGCTGCTCTCTCTCGCACTTCCTGCTGCCGGCTTTGCAGCAGCAGCAGCACTGCCGGAATGCCCTGAGTCACCCAGAAGTCCTCTCTTGCCTCCCAACTTCTCCCTAAACCACCACCACCTCCTCCTCCTCCTCCTCCTCCTCCTCCTCCTCCTCCTCCTCCTCCTCCTCCTCCTCCTCCTCCTCCTCCTCCTCCCCCTCCCCTCTCTCCTCCTAAACCCCCCACAACACCTCCCAATCCCCCTCTCCCCCTTCCCCCTCCTCCTCCCCCTCCCCCCCCACCCCCTTCCCCACCCCATTGGCTCCAACCTCTCGGCCAATGAGTGAAGAGCTCGAACCAGAATCAGCTCTGTCCAATCAGAGAGCTCCACGCAGGCACTGCGGGGCCCACCACCGCCTAGTGCCCTGGTGATGTGGAGCACGAGTGCTCTGACCTGGCTCTCTTCCGAAGCAGCAGCACTCTCTTCTGAAACAGCAGCGCAGTCTGCGGATGGGGCTGAGAACATGGATGCGTGAGTGGTTTCCTCCACCCTCGCTGCCATCCTTGCTGCTGCTGCTGCTGCTGCTGCTGCTGCTGCTGCTGCTGCTGCTGCTGCTACTGCAGTTGCTGTTGCAGTTGCTGTTGCAGTTGTAGCTGCTGCTCGTGCTGCTGCGGCTGTTCCTCCTGCTGCTGGTGCTGCTACTTCTGTTGCTGCTTCTTCATCTGCTGCTCCTCTTGCTCCCCCTCTCCCTCTTCCCCGCCCTCCTCCTCGACCTCTACCTCTTCTAACTCCAGAGGCAGCAGCAGCGGTGGCTCCTATAGCAGCAGCTGGGGCTGTAGCAGCAGCGGTGGCGGCTGTAGTAGCAGCTGGGGCTGTAGCTGCAGCTGCGGCGGCAGCAGCAGCAGCAGCAGCAGCTGTAGCAGACCTGGTTTGCCGTCCAGAGGGAGTCTGACGTGTGGCTGTTGCTGATGTTGCTGCTGGTACTCCTGGTGCTGCTGCTGCTGGTACTCCTGGTGCTGCTGCTGCTGGTGTTGCAGCTGCTGCTGCTGGTGTGCCTACAGAAGGCACTGTTGATGATACTCCTGTTCCTGCAGTAGGAGAGGCCACCGTTGCTGCTGCGGCAGACGTGCTACCAGTGACATTCCCATTCCCGTCCTCAGCCCCAGGCTCGGCAGCTCCCGAGCCTGCCACAGGCTGTGCCGCTGGTCTCTTAGGCTGGTAGAAGCTCCAGAGGCAGGATGGGTCGCTGCAGGAAAGGGCAAGAGCGAGGAGAGCCAGACGAAGATCGCCGTACCGGAATAGCAAAAGACAGGGCTTGCTTGGCATTTTGATGGCCTCGTGAAAGGTTTCCAGCTCAGGACAGCTGAAAGCAGCAACGACGAGGACGGAGGGAGATGCTAGAATTAAGTTGACAGCTTCGGGTGAGATGTCCGAACGTGACACGTCCACGGCTCGCATGTTCGGCAGCCGAGCCACGTCCGAAGCTGCCCGATGCCAAGACGCGTCCGAAGCTGCCCGATGCCAGGACACGTCCGAACCTGACAGGGACAGATACCGGACCTGCTGAAGCAGCGCCAAGCCTCCCCGATCCTCAAACCTGAGGCAGTTAATGAGCGAGAGATTGTATAGCCGCGGGCAGTGGCGTGCCAGGGCTGCAAGGCAAGCCTGGTCAACCCTCCGTAATCCGTTTAAATGGAGATCCTCTAAACGTGGACAGGACTCTGCCAGCACGCAGATCGCGTCCGGGGAGAGCCTCTCGCAATGGGAGAGCGACAGCTGGCGCAGGCGCACATGGCGGCCGAGGATAAGGCCGAGGGACGCGTCAGAGAGATCGGTGCATGAGTCAGCAAGGAGGTGCTGGAGGGAAGAGCCTGTGGGAGAGGCATGGGCCGAGCCTGATGAAGAGCCTCGGAAAGATGTCCAAGGGAAGTCCCTAGAAGAGCCCTCACAGCCTCCCATGCCAGCTTTATTTGTGCCCCGGAACGGGTATCCTGTGCTGGTGCTGCTGTTGTTGCTGCCACTGCCAACCGCCCTAACAGGACCATCAGCGCTTGCACCACCAGCTGAAGGAATAGCAGCAGAAGGAGGAGGAGCAGGAGGAGAAGGAAAAGTAGGAGGAGCCGCTGAACTAGCAGCAGCGCCACCAGCAGAGGCCCCGGCCCCTACCCCAGCACGAGCACCCCCGGAAGATCCTTCCAAAAGCTCTCCACACCTGTCAAACCTCCCAAACCCCGCAGCAAGCCTGGCCACCGCTCGGAGCGACTCCGCCCCCTTCACATGCACGCGAGTGAGCGCCCCTGCGCACCTCACAGCGAGGGAATCCGCAGCAGCGGCGGAGAGAGGGGGGTAGCAGCGGAGGTCAAGGGTGGTCCAGAGGGAGGGCGCGAAGGAGAGGTGGCACCAGGAGGAGCAGGCGCAGGATGCTCGAGCGAGGTCGCGGAAGGCAAGGAGGGAGAAGATCCGCAGGGTGATTTCGGCTGGAAGGGAGGTCCAGTCAGGGGGGTGTACACGTGCTGGGTGCTGCTGCTGCTGCTGTTGGGCTGCTGGGTCGTTTAGTGCGGAGGGTGAAGGTGCTGTGGTTGGATGCTGTTGGCTGGTGCTGGCCTGTTGTTTCTCTTTCTGCTTCAGCTTCTTCTGCTTCTGATGCTGATGCTGCTGTTTCTCTTCCACATTCTGTTGCTGCGCCTGCTGCTTCTGTCGCGCCTGCCCTGCCTGCTCCTGCTTCTTCCCAACCCCGCCTTCTTCCTCCTTCTCCTTCTCCTCCTGAGAGCCATGCTGCTGCTGCTGCTGCTGCTGCTGCTGCTCCGGCTGCCCCTTCTCCCGCTGCTGTCGGCGCCGCCGCTGCTGCTGCTCCCTTTCCTCCTCCTCCTCATCCTCCCCATCCTCCTCACCCTCCTCCACCTCATCGTCCACCAATTCTAAAACCTCCTCACACCTCTCCACAAACTTAATCTCCTCCCAACCACTCTCTAGTAACCCTACCTCCTCACGCATTCCCAGCTGACCCACCTTCTCAACCATCCCATCCACCCCCTGTCCTTCACTCCCCTCCTCCCCTCCTCTTTCCCTTTCTGTCATATCCATTGACCAGAACAAGGCGTCTCCTCCGCCTTCTCCGCCTGCCACGTCAGCAATCCACGCTTCCGCCTCTGTCTCCGCCGCTACAGCGTCCAGCCGCGCGGAAACCGTGCTCACCCCGTCTGCGCGACCAGCATCCCCTCCGCCAGCGCGTGCGTTTTGCTGCCGAGCTAGCGCGGATGAGGCGTGCGCTTCCGCGGACAAGGCGGGAACTTCCGCCGGCGAGCGCGGAGCGTCTGCAGCGGACGAACTGGGCGCGGATTTGGGGGTGAAGCGCGCGGACGCGGAAGAGGACGCGGAGGAGGGACCGGGAGGCGGAGATTCCGCGGAGATTTCGAGCAAGGGGGGAAGCGCGAGCGAGTTCCGCGATCCTGCGCAATCAGCGGTGTTGACAGCATCGGCTAAGGCGGGATGCGGAAGGGCAACATCGGGAGAAGTCCCAGAGCCAGTCGCTGGCGTCGCAGCAGGGGTCGCCGAAGGAGTCGCAGCGGGATTCGCAGGAGTCGGAGCGAGGGTTGCAGAAGGATTCGCACCAGCAGCAGTGGTCTCAGGCACGAGCCTGACGGACCCGCCTGGCGTGTCCGTGGAAGCTAAACGACGCCCTACCGTCCCTCGCGATCGGCCTCTCTGGCTGACAGGTGTCACCTCCTCATTGGTTGCCGCTGCAGCGGAGCCTGAGATTTCCACGTCAGGCGTAGCGCTTGGGCATCCAGTGCGTCGCCTCGTTCGTCTCGTCATGTCGCAGTCGCAACCAACTTCGCGAAAGCGCCTTGCGAAACAACGAAACTGAAGCGAACGTCGCTAAGGACCGGTTCAGGCAGATGATAACTACGGTGAGGAGTTGAAGAAACTCATGCTATCATGGCCGGAACAATCTTGCGGCACGAAACGTCAAAAGGGCCGAGCACACTGACAGGGACTGGACATCTCCTTTTTCTTACAGGTTGCAATGACGGTTGCTGAATGCAAAGCAGATTGCGAGGCTAGTTCCTAAGCTGAACTCTCCGCGTCAGCACGGAATGCGCTATGCGCAGGAGTTCTGTGGATGCAGGAGCACCTAACCAAAAACAAATTGTTTCTGGTGTAGGCTAGGCAGTCTGAAGAAACTGATCAGTTTCTTGACCCGTGGTTTGTCAAGGCTCTTGAGCAGCTGCCAGCGACTATCCGCCACGAGATACCGGGCTTACCTCTGTGTGTAGCGGCCCCTCCTGTTCGGCTTTTCCAGGCGCGGCAGCGGCAGTTAGCTGTAGAGGAGCTCCAGGCACTGCGCCGCTTGGCTCGTGACGATGCCACCTTGGCCCGTTTCACATCCCTTCAGGGCCCGGGGGCAGGTGCATGGGTTTCGGCGGTTCCGGCTCACTCATATCTCACATTCACTGCGGCTGAGTGGGGCATTGCTGCTGCTATACGGCTCGGCCTCCCAATCCAGCAGCTGCAGGTGGCGGGGAGGTGTGTTTGTGGCACAGCGTTTGTTGACCCAGCAGATCCGTACCATGCCCTGAGATGCAGGCATCAGCATGGTCCTTCTCGGGTGCATGATGAGGTGAAGTTTGCGGTGGCGAAGATCTCTAAGGCGTCGAGGAGGGTGGTGACAATGGAGGATAGTGTGGTGCTGCATGGGAAGCGGGTTGATGTGGCGGTGCGACGTCCAATGGCTGGAGAGGCTCACGCCCTAGAGATCAGCGTCGCGGACCAGCTATCGCTGTCTCCATCACTGCTGGGACAGTGCGGGCGTCAAATAGGTGTGGCGGCAAGGGAGTGGGAGCTCCGCAAAACGAGTGACTACGCGCCTCTGCTTGCACGCAACCGGGGCGTGCAGTTCACCCCTTTGATAGTTGAGACGTGGGGGTGTCTCGGCGGTCGTTTTCAGCGGTGGCTTCGTCAGCAGGGGGATGCGTACGTGGGACTAGCTGTGTCGCGGGGGGCTTGTCGAGAGGACGACTCTGTGTTTTCGGCTTATCTTTTAGGGTCACTGAAGGCGCTCATCGGGGTGGCGTTACAACGGGCGCAAGCCCGTGTCATCCTGCTTCGAGCAGTGTCTTCCATGGGGGGGATTAACGTAGATTTGGTGGATCGGGAGAGGGACGATGTCGATGTGGAAGGCGGGGCTCTCTGGGTGGAGGCCCCGTACATGGTCGATACGTTGATGTGATTGAAGGGGGGGGGGGGGGGGATGGGGTGTGGGATGGGATGTCTTGATGGGGTGTCTTGACTGGGCGTTTTGATTGGGTATCTGGAGTGGGGTTTTATGTGTGTTGCATTTGGGTTCTTTTTGGCAGTTTCAACTTCTGTCACCTCCCTACCACATCCCACCAGAATCTTCCGCCACTCTGTTGTGCTTTTTGATTGTCCATACTGATAAGAAATCTCCCATACATGTACAAGAGCCGACCTACTAATTTCGTGGCAGTTAAGAAAAAAAAAAAAAAAAAAAAAAAAAAAAAACCGATGAGGAGTCATGAATTCAAAATCGTGATACAACTGTACTGTATCAACTTTAATTCAGTTCCTTTGGCAATACACAAGGATGGAAGGGAGAAATGAATAGATTCTGTTTGTTCTGGTTCTGGAAGTTTAATTGGTTCCTTTAGTAACAAGCTTAATAATAATATATAATTGGCTAGTTTCATAGCAATGTGATTTAGGCAACTAGTGTGAATTAAGGATTTTTTGACGGAAGACTTCAAGAAAGAACTAAAAAATAATGTTAAAATTTACCAATGATATATATTGTGTTCCATAGGCCGGTATGTTTCTATATATTCTTACAAGGTGGCGTGGCGACCTACAGTCTCAAAACCAATATCTGAACCATTACAGACAGAATGAGTAACACGCTCGCGCTCATTTTCGCAACCCTTCTCGTTTGAACCTTGCACAGTGTTTGCTCTGGTTGGCGAACAAAACCTGCTTACGTGGACACGAGCTATCCTTATCTTTGGAACGGGAGCCCAGAATCATCCGTAACTCGATTTCGGACGCTATTCGTCCGTTGGATGCGATCCACATGTCGAATCGAGGGGTCGCAAAATCGCTGACAATTTGCCTCCAGAACCAAACATCGACCTTGGGCACCTAGTGACTTGGGGAACCACATAGGGACCACCTTCGATCTTCCTCGGGAATTCAGCAGCTCTCCTCAATTCGCCGATCTCACCCATCTCAGCGCAATCTCTGGTTGTCATCCACCTGAAGCAATGGCTGCCGCTGCTTCCATGGCTACCAGCGTTGCCCTGAAGAGCCTCAGCTCTTCCTTCTCCGGTGCGGCCGTCGCTGCTCCCCAGAAGGCTGTGGCCGCCAAGGCCGGTGCCTTCACCTGCCGTGCCCAGAAGTCCGAGGAGGAGGTTGTTGTTTCCCGCAGGAACGCTGTGACCCTCCTCGCTGGTGCCGCTGCTGCCCTCACCCTGAAGGCTGCCCCCGCTCAGGCTGCCTATGGCGAGGCTGGTACGTCTCGTAGCTCCTTCGTATCCGTGGCAATGTTGACGCTGCCTGAAAGCGTGTGTCACATGCATGCGCTTTGCTCGTGCGCCGTAGGGGATGCAAGATTTGCACCAGGCTTAGAACGTTGACTCAGCTGTGCGCTACCCCTCCTCCCTTGGCAGCCAACGTCTTCGGCAAGGGCCCCGGCAACACCGACTACATTCCGTACAAGGGTGCGGGTTTCTCCATTAACCTTCCCTCCAAGTGGAACCCCAGCAAGGAGGTCGGCGAGTTCGCCAACATCGTCCTGAGATATGAGGACAACTTCGATGCCCTCGCTAACGTGGTCGTCATTGCTGAGCCGACCAGCAAGGGCTCCATCAGCGACTTCGGTTCCCCCGAGGAGTTCCTTGAGAAGGTATAATTTTATAAAGTGCACGCTGTAGGTTTTACGCCAATTTGGTGACACGACACCTACTGTTATAGATGACGGTCTTGCACACTTTCTAACATCTGCCCTTTGTGTTTTGCAGTACAAGTACCTCCTCGGTGTCCAGGTCTTCGCTGGTGAGACCGCTTCCGAGGGTGGCTTCGAGAAGAACGCCGCTGTCACCGCTTCTGTGCTGGAGTCCTCGTCCGAGAAGGTTAACGGCAAGACCTACTACAAGCTGAACGTTCTCACCCGTACCGCTGACGGTGGTGAGGGTGGCAGGCACCAGCTCTTCACCGCTGCCGTGTCTAACGGCACGCTTTACATCTGCAAGGCTTCCTCCGGTGACAAGAGGTGGTTCAAGGGTGCCAAGAAGTTCGTTGAGGGCACCGTCGGCTCCTTCGCTGTCGCTTAGATTGTGATATAAAGTCAATTTTGCGATACAAAAACAAGTAATTCAGTCATTTTGCACATATTTCAACGACTTGGTCAACTACCTTGTAACTGGCAAGCATAATCGAACAGCGTAAATTACTGATGCTGCCAAGCATGTCGAACAGTTGCTAGCTCGAACAACGAACACTAACGATGCAGTTTCATTTCAACAAAGTAAAGAAAAGTCAACTTGCAGCTAGATCCTGCAGCAATGGAGTAGCAATGTGTGAATATCAAGTGACAGATTGACAGGGCGGTAATGCAGAGGGCGAAGTGCCATACGATGGTGAAGGTGAAACTGCAGGGGATGGAGCAGGGGCCTGGCTTGGTGCAGGAACTGGGCTAGGAGCAGAAGCTGGACTTGGAACAGGAGCTGGGCTTGGGGCGGGAGCTGAAGCAGGTGCAGTTAATGGCCCCGTTGCATTAACATGGAGTCTGAACTGTAAAAATGAGTTGCCAGCTAAGCCTAGAAGGCCGGAACCTGCCTGAACAGCTTGAAGCACGTCCCTGCACACAATTAGTCATGAAAACAGTTTTTACACAGATATACCGGTGAACATACAGTGCATACAGCTCAGCCATGCATTCGATAACACACCTGATTCTGACAATAGGGTCTGAATCAGCCATCAGCAGAAGAGAAGTATTCTGCATGATAACAATCATGAATAGAAGAGTGAGCACGGAATCAAGTCCAGCAAACATTGTGGGTGCTGATAATAAAAAATGCACGTGCACGTACAGTTGCAGACATCTGACCGGCGACATTTGTGATTTGATTGCTGGGGATGTCCACGTTGACATTCTTCAGGTCCACGTCTTCTCCAAAATACTTTCCCGTAACTCGCCCAAACAAAACTGAAGCGTTTTGAGGAGTGAAGGTGAAGTTCCCTTCAGGACTTGTCGTGAAATTCCCACCTGCTCAAAATGCATTCTTCATTTCACATGAAGGAGGTGCGCGCTGGAAATGACAGCAGCAGGGATTTACCACCTACCAGATACGGTGAGGTTGACATCTGTTGCAGTGAAATTTGCAAGAGGAACAGCAACGCCTGGCCCTATGAGAGCGACCTGGAGCTGAGGGGGTATGGTTGTAAAGCTACTGCGAACCCATGTCCACTCGACCTGCAAGCCACCGGAATTATGACACGTTGTATTAACAATCTCAGCCTGTTGCAACGAACGAAGCTGAAGAAAAGAGACGTACCGTGAAAATGTGAGCGCGACACTACCTGCTGGGTCGACGGGGAGAGGGCGAGTTTGAGCGCGATTGGTCCTTTGAGCAGAAAGGATGGTGGGCCTACAACCAGGCGCAGGCCCGATGCGCCTCCTGCTTCCCAAGACGAATTAGAGGATTCGGGAATAGCCTGGCGACCGTGAAACAGGAAACATAAATGGCATGCTTTTTCTTAAAAAACTATGAGGCCGAGTCGTTTCGCAACAAAGGACTTTACCTGCAGCACGGTTCCCTGAGCCCCTTGTCCATTTGCAGAGTCAACAAGCAGCGTGAAAACGAGTACCGCAAAGGAGACACAAGCCAAGACTTCTCCGAATGAGTAACTTTTTCCAACAGAGACTCGGGGCGCAGAGCAGAAACACAAACAAGGGCGAGCCATTCTGGGATTCTCGGGTGTGCTGCAACGATGACCACGAGAAGGAGGGATACGTGTTGTGAATGGCACGCTCTTCACGTGCCACGCTACTGTGCCACTCCAACCCCTTCCCCTCAAAACACCCTCGACACATTTTCCTAAGAGCCCATCCAAACCACTCAACTCTTCCAAAGCCTATTCCAACCACTCAAGTTACAAACTCCTTTTTTTCCAACTCATCCTCTCCAACTCAAGCCTATCAACCACCTCTTTAATTACTCCCAACCACCATAGACTTTCCTAGTCCAACTCAACCAATATTCAAACCAACTTCCCATACTTATCCTCAAGTCCCACCATAAGGCACATGACTCCTCATGATTTTCCATGTGTTTTCCTTTCCTACTCATCAAAGTTTACCCAAGTCATCTACCTCCTCCAATTATCCTCCTCCCATGTGCCTTCAAGCACATGCTTCCACTTCCTAGTCATCAACCTCCACATGCCTCTCATTTATTCCTTCCATCATTCCTTTCCCAAGTCACCAAAGTTGCCACCTCATCCCTAAGGACTTCATGATTATCCCATCACCTCCTATTACAAGGGAACAAAACTCATCATCTCCTCCACTCATCCTTATCCAACTCACTAAGCTCTCTTCCAACTCAACAAGGCTTACATCTCCAACTCATCAAGTGCTCAACCACCATCACATGCTCCAATACTATTCATCTACATCAAGCATCTCTACAACTTCTCAAGAAGGTTCTTCAATGACAACAATGCATTCCAAGCTTCTTCACCAAGCTCATTTCCAAGCTTCTCCTTCAAGCTCCTCTTCTACTACAAAGGCTCCTCACTAGCAACCAAGTTCTATGTCTCCAAAAGTTGATACTCTCATGCAACTCTCTTCCAAGGCTACCATTGATGGTTACTCTCTCTATGCATGCCTATGTATCCCTCATGGATCTATAAGGCTTGTACTATACCTCTTTCAATATAAGTTTATGCTCACAAAGTGTCTCTCATTAGTCTACAAAGTTAAGCATCAAGTGAAGAGTAATCACCTCATACTCTACTTGAGTATAAGGTTCATTACTTTCTACAAGCTTGAGGAAGGATCATCACCCAACACCAAGCTTGATGTTCTTCTTCAAGTAAAGCTCTCAAGACCAAGCCATTCCTACAAGTCACCTCTACAACTATCCCTAGTAAGATTCATTTAAGTAAGTGCCTATCCCCTCTCTTATTCTCTCAACAAGCTCATACTCTCTTTCTCCATTTTTGTGTTTTTTATCTCATCAAGCATTCCACCTTACACAAGTTTCTCTTTATAGTCCCAAGTTCTAAGTATCATCTTCTCTTCTATCAAGCTCATCCTCATTTACTACAATTCCACTGTTTACTCTTGTCTTATTCTATTGTGCAATCATACTCTTTTATCCTTATCTCAATTTTCTACAATACGCGCAATGCGCAAGCGGCTAAATGGGTGTTCCAAGTGCTGAATCCGACCAATCTCATGAAATTATTTTGGAGAGCTCTGACGGCCAGCCGTCAGCGTCTGGTTATGGGATAACCAGGCGATTGGGCTTTGCCCTCGTTGGGTCTCATGAGGATTCGCAAAGCGGGGGAGTGACACGTAGGGGCTGGAACAGCTGGAAGCAAACAGAAGAAAATAGATTCACATTACAGGAAAATGAGCCGCAAGCATTGAATTAAATCAACATTCACTACTATGCAATGAATAGAAGTAGCGAGAATTGCACTAAGGTGTCAAAACGAGTACAAAGATGTGAGCGAAGGCATGAGCGAACATTTATACGCGAACATGCAAACGGTAACGCGGTGCGTGCGAGCTAGCTAGTGCTACGCTGGTAGCGAGGCTCGGGCTAGTCCCGAAGCGTAGGCCGACACGGCCGGGCCAGCAGTGCGAGGTTTGGCAAAACAGTGCGCGCGAAGTTGGCGAAGTTCCGTTAGCAGTAACGGGCGAACAACGGCTGTTGCTATACGCGATGTAGTCGGTGTTGGGCTGAGTGCCCCTTAGGATCTTTGGTAGGGTTAATGTCTGGGTAGAATGATGTAGTAGCGGAAGCGTTAACAAAGAGATTCTGAACCACCTTGCGCTAGTATGTGAGGGCAAAGTAAGTTGATTAAAACAAGGAGATACAATATTTTATATATGATTACAAGGAATACGAAGAGATACGAATGATAACTGTTTTACTGTTGGCTTTTGCGGTTCGATACAGTGCGACTCGGGCAACTGCTCAATATCGAGTCAGTTGTGTGTCCTTGCTGTCGCGCTGCATTTGTCAAGTCAAAGGTCGCTGACCTTTGACCTTCGCGTAACCTCTGTTGGAAATCCGAATACAGTATAACGAATACTGTATACCAGTGTGCTGTTTGGTTTTAGTGTAGTCCTCTTTATAAGCTTCCAGGTCCTACAATTATTCTAGGGGCCAGAATTATTGGAGGTCAGCATTATTGGAGGGTAGAGGGTACAATTTTTGGTACACCATTATTGGTGTGAATGGGTCATTTTGGAGGGGTAGCTGGATGCATATATACCCTGCTGTGTCACATCATTGAGTACTCATTGTGTCATCCTTTTACTTTTCAATGATCAATGCAAGATTTCTATCTCGTCCTTTTCTACAAACACGTTTCCGCTACGCTGGCACTATGCCTTTCTAGCATGGTATCAGAGCTACTATGGGGGGCATGCTGCCAAAACTGGTTCAGGAATTTACTGGCATACAGTTTGGATAGGTACTCGCATACAGTCGGAGTACCGCACACCCGGTCTACGCTTTCGTACACCTGGTGTTCGCTGTTGGTTACAACCGCGCGTTTACCGCACACTTGGTGGACGGTTTTGTCAAGGTCATGGCGCACTTCGATGGCGAAGTGGATCTTGGATATGCGGCTTTTGAAGAAGCCATCATGGCTCAGCATGAGCACCTGGAAAGCATGATTGCAAGGGCACCACCAACTCTCCAAGCTTCGTTAAGGGACAAGTTTGGAATGACAATCCAGCCAAGAGCAAAACTCTCTCATGAGTTCAGCAATCCGTCCACCCATGGACAGTCTCATTCAAGCACTCCACGTACTAGCCAAACTCGTGCAAATGTTCATGCAGGAATTGATGGTGAATGGGAAATGGGCATACCTCAAGGAGGAGAGTCATCCCAATGGAGGGATGCATCCGTCCAAGGAGAGGAGATCGCCAATTCCGCACCTCAATCATCCATGCAAAGGGAAGCACGGGGGAGGAATGATGAGTATCGGAGTGCAGTGCTTGGTGGAACGAGAAGTGGACAGATTGGGCATCAGGGTGACAGAAATGGTGAAGTGGGCGTGGAAGGTGTGGGATTTGCCTCCTACACTATTGGTGCTCCCCCACTACGACGACTTGCGACTAACTCTCATCCCATTGGAGTTCTTCCCATGCCCAGGTCTCACCTTCATGGCGACAACATCATCCCTCCACATGCACATCATCCACCAATCAGCGCACACTCTGTGGACAGCATGGGGCGGATGGGATACGGAATGCAGTCAAGTGGTGTCATGCGACGGGATCAAGTGGAAGTGCTGGAACGTCAACTTGGTGGACAGAATGGAGATATGCGGCGCACGGTACAGCTACCTCGACCGTCAACCATGCCTACTCTCTTCGACCCCGCACCACGTGAATATACGGACGAAGACAAGGAACGACTGTCACGCAAAATGGTGGGAGCAACGGTGGACAAGGCATTCACCACCACTCCGTTTGACGGCTCAAATTTCCGCGAATGGGCACTACGGTTTCGTATGAACGCCCGCGTCACGAATCTGTGGGAGTTCTTTGTGACCCTCCAGTATCCGGTTACCATGGGAGATGGTGACATTGACGACGCTATGGGGCGGCTGGAAATGCTACAGGCGGATTACTCCCAGCGTGCGGCACTCGCCTTTTGGGTCCTATTGCACAGCGTGAGCGCCACGATTCAACTACAGCTAGACATGTTCCAGGAATCCTACAGCCCGGCTTATGAAGCATGGGAGTATTTGATGGACACTTACCAGGCCAAAGATTCGGTGGCGAAGGTCTCTCTCTTGAAGCAGTTGGACAACCTGAAAATGGGGAACACCGAAAGGGTGGAGGAGTACGTCAACCGCGCAACAGCAATCCGGGACAAGTTAGCACTCGCGGGGAAGATGGTGGATGAAGATACCTTCACCTTAAATCTGCTCACCGGACTACCAGTGCATTGGGAGGAGATGAGGCACTCGGCAATGCTGCACAACGTGACGGACAGCTTCACTTTGCAGCGGATGATGATTCGGGAGCAGAGATATCACGATCTCATCACAAAGGATAACCGTGACCGGCGTCCACCTCGCATGGTTGGACAAGCACGTGGAGACTGCTCACCTTCTCCAACTGCAAAGGGCAATAACGGGAAGGAGGGGTCAATTGGGGAGAAAACGCATGGCAAGGATGGAGATGCAAGTCGCTCATCTCTCGTGTGTTGGTACTGCAAGGAGCCTGGCCACCCCTTCTTCAAGTGTACCAAGGCACCCCCTGGGTGGATACCACCAGGGTGGGAACCGCATACCCGCGGAAAGGCAAAACTGCACACCAGCGACAGCCGTTCGTCCTCCCCACGAAGGAGTTGCAGCCCCAAACGTGACAACAATGCATCAAAACAGCAAGGGGCAGCCGGGGAAGACAAACAACGTACTGTTACGTGCATTGCAATGATGGGATCGTCACAAGCTACCTTACCGCCAGCTAAAGCGTCATCTTGGATGCTGGATAGTGGATGCAGCCAGCACATGACTTCGGACAAGAGCTGGTTTGAAGAGTTAAGGGAGCTGGACGAACCTGTTTATGTGGAGCTTGCTAATGGGAGCGAGCTGAGCAGCAAGATGACAGGAACGATCAGAGCAACGGCACCTGATGGGACAACAGTTCGGTACACTGACGTCCTCTACGTACCTGGCTTGAAGAGTAACCTGCTCTCCTATTGTCAGCTGCTGAAAAAGGGAGCGCACATCAATACAATTGCTAATGGAGACACGGAGGTCACCATGAAAGATGGAGAGGAGTACGTGCGGATTGGATTTGCTAAGAACGTGGATGGAGTGCTCGTGGTGCAATATGCGCATGCACTTACATCCGCCCATGATCCTGGACATTCCCGTTATGACGCGTCATCGCATCAGGTTGATCGTGAGGGGGTTACCCTTTTCCGCACACCTGGTGTGCACATTGACGCACATGAGAGCACGGATTTCCGCACACCTGGGATGCAGTCGAGTGGCAAGTCTGCACATGCCTCTGTCACATACCGCCTGGCGCACAAAGCCTGCATCGTGCGGAATCCGGCACATGATGTTGATACGGATGAAGTCTCACCCCACTGTGTGGTGTGGACTTCAGGGGGAGGAGGCCACAGGTCCGTAGTGGATTCGGTTCCTGCATTCTCGACCATTGAAGGACATGAAGGCGAAGGAGCAGAATATGCAAAACAAGACTTACCTGGAGCTGATGTAGCTGATGAAGTCAGTGCAGTTGAAGGAAGCGGAGGTACAGCTGATGGCGTATCTGTGACTGGTGTTTCCATTTCGGAAGGCGTGGAAAATGATGATGTGGGAAATGAGGTGGACAAGCCAAGCAAGCAGCATCTCACCTGCCATTTGCTGGTTGGTCAAGGCAATCATCAAGTCAAGGATTCTGGTGTTGTACTCACCTGTGCGGCCACCTCGAACGGTGCGGCACAACATGGCATCACCTAACTCCACACTCACTCATGTGCTTGTAGCTGTGTACGCGGATCACTACAAGCACATGGGTGGCGGGAGGTGGGGTGTGGAGTATGTCTGGTGGCATAAGTGTGGGACATGGAGTCAAGAAGCATAAGGGGAAGACCTACTCACCAAGGGTTGCCAAATAGGCAGGGGGAGCAGGAAGAATGAATGCAACCGGTCGTCATACGTCGTGCTTCAGTGGTATTGTGGTATTGGTTGCAGCAGATGAACGGTACCACCTGAGGGAAGAGTGGATAATATACATGGGAGCACTGCGTACGTGGTGTGCACAACTCTGCATACTTGGAGTGCGCTACATTCTTGGAGTGCACAACACTGCATACTTGGAGTGGACATTTCTGCATACGTGGAGTGCAGAGTTTGGGATACTTGGAGTGCGTCGGCATGCACAACTCTTTAGCTGATGGAGTTCGGCAACTCCGACTGCTACCGTGTGCCGGCTGGAGTGTATGGGGAGCATCACATGACAACATAGGTGAAGTTTGAGCAAACTTGGCATGATTGCCAAAGCATGGGGAGAAATTGTCGCGCGAAGTGTGCGCCCACCAATGCAGTTCCGCGCCAGCCGCACACCCTGTGTTATCTGCTACCGATTCGCGTCATCCGCAACTGCAGTGGTCGCAGACGCGCATCCACTGCGGTTTTGCGTCGTCGCACAGGAGGCGTGCGAAAAAGACAGCAGCACTGACAATCGCGTGTAGTCAAGTCTACGGTTTCGGAAATTCGGTGTGCGCTAAGGGCAATCCGCCATGACGATCTACGCATTTCGCCATGGTTATGAGGAGATTTCGTCATGGAGCTGCTACTATTTCCTCAGTAGCAGCCACTACGCGCTGTATCTAGATCTGGAAAGTCGCCAGTGGAAGGAGGGATTGGAAAACATCAAGGGAGGAGGTTTGGTTGGAGTTTGAAAGCACCAAAGGCTTGGGGGGAGAAAGGTGCTACAGTGACGAGCAGCTTGGCCACCACCAAACCCTAGCTTGGTTTGGGCGCACCCCTACCTAGTGGTGGTATACCACCTCGACCACCCCATCCTCCAAGGAAATCGGATTCACTAAAACCTACAGCAAGGGGGAGTGTTGGAAATCCGAATACAGTATAACGAATACTGTATACCAGTGTGCTGTTTGGTTTTAGTGTAGTCCTCTTTATAAGCTTCCAGGTCCTACAATTATTGTAGGGGCCAGAATTATTGGAGGTCAGCATTATTGGAGGGTAGAGGGTACAATTATTGGTACACCATTATTGGTGTGAATGGGTCATTCTGGAGGGGTTGCTGGATGCATATATACCCTGCTGTGTCACATCATTGAGTACTCATTGTGTCATCCTTTTACTTTTCAATGATCAATGCAAGATTTCTATCTTGTCCTTTTCTACAAACACGTTTCCGCTACGCTGGCACTATGCCTTTCTAGCAACCTCCAGCTGTTGCTTCAACATCCGAGGGTTGACTCGCTGGTGCCTCGATATGCGTTGCTTCACTTGTGTCTTTTAGTGTTTCGACACGACAGAGGCGCTTAGGACCGATTGTTTCCAACACTCCCCTTCGCTTCTGGAGTGTCGCTGACGTGGCTCTCTCTAGTCAGCAGCATGCAATATTCGAATTTCTGCTTTCCGAGCTTCTAGGTCAGATAGTCAGCTGCCATTTCGGGCGTGGGGCAGTATGACAGCTCGAGCCTTCCCTTCTCGATCTCGTCCTTCACGAAGAAGTATCGCAGGGCGATGTGTTTCGTCCTGTTCGCAAAACCGTTCTTGTTGGCGATGCGAATTGCCGACTGGTTGTCGCAAAACATGGTAAAGTTGGGTAACTCGGCTAACTTCGCTTCTTCCAGCAGCTCGCGAAGATAGAGTCCTTCCTTGGTGGCTGAGCAGAGTGCAATATATTCTGCTTCAGCTGACGAGAGAGCAATTAGTTCCTGCTTGCTCGATTGCCAGGAGATAGGCCCGATAGGTTCGAAGCGATAGATGTAGCCGGTGCGTGATCGTCTGTTGTCAGAGTCGCCCGCGTGATCTGCGTCGACGTAACCGATTAGCTTAGGTGGCGTGGTCGCGTTCTTGTGATATGTTAGGCCGATCGTTGGCGTACTGACGAGAAAGTGTAGAGCGCGGTCGAGTTCGGCCATGTGTTTTGCTTCAGGCCTTTTGAGATGAGTGGCGAGCTGGCTTGCGGAGTATGAGAGGTCGGTGTCGTGTGCAGGTCATCAGGTACATGAGGCAGCCAACAAGCTCTGGGTACGGGCCACTCGACTCTACGGACTCATCCGAAGGCAGACCTGAGAGCGAGTGGCTAGTAGACAGAGGAGTGGCCTGAGGCGAGGAGTACGTGAAGCCGAAGCGCTGAAGGACCTGCTGCACCATGTGTGACTGAGTCAGGGTAATGGTGCGCTGTGCTCTGTCCCGGGTGATCTGCAAGCCAAGGTAGCTGCGTAGTTTACTCAGGTCTGTGCACGTGTGTCTCTTCTGCAGCTCGGACTTCACGTGGGCGAGTCCAGCAGTGTCAGCAGTGGCAAAGACCAGGTCGTCGACGTACACGAGGATGTAGAACGGCGGCAAAGAGGTGTCGGTGCGTAGAAACAGCGACGGGTCGGCTGTAGAAGGAGCAAACCCAAGAGCCGCAAGTGTAGTCCTCAGTGTGTCGTGCCACTCACGGGGCGCCTGGCGGAGACCGTAGACTGGCCGCCGGAGGCTCCACTGGGTGCCAGGAGGAAACGACCCACTAAAGCCACGTGGGCGGCGCAGCCAGATCTCCTCGTGCAGGCTGCCCTGTAGGAAAGCAGTGCTGAAGTCAAGAGAGTGAAGCTCGAAGTCGCGCTGAGCGGCTATGTGCAGCAGCACCCGAAGAGTGGTCATCTTCGGGGTGGGAGAGAAGGTCTGAAAGTAGTCAACTCCCTGCCGCTGACTGAAGCCTCGAGCCACGTAACGCGCCTTGAAGACAGGCGGAGAGCCCGACGGCCGCTTCACCCTGAAGATCCACATCCCACTGACGATGTTCGCCCCAGGTGGGGGAGCCTCGTCGACGTAGGTGCTTGTGGACTTCCAGGAAGCCATCTCTGCGTCCATGGCCGACTGCCACTGAGAGGAGTAGGGACCCTCGATCGCCTCAGCGTACGATCGAGGAGTAGGGATGTCTGGTGCATCCGGGTCTCCCTCAGGGGCAATCAGCGTGGACACGAGATGGGGCAAAGCAGCCGTAAAGCACTGGAACTCCTCCTGCCTGTCCTCAAGGACGTCCGTGCTAAGAGCACACTCACCCCCGACGGACGGAGGACACACAGACTCAGACTCAGCAACAAGATTGGCTGCGTAGTCTAGACGACAGCGAGCAGCGAAGTCGACAAGCTCAGCAACTAGAGCCGACGCAGCAGCAGACTCAAAGGAAGGGTCAGTGATGACAGTAGCAAGAAGGCGCGTGACCGAAGGACTAGCAGCACGAAGGGAGTCAGACTCCAAGTCAGCAAGAGAAGGAAGAGAGGACTCTGGAGGAGACGGCAACAGGACACGCAGAGGAGCAGTGGAAGGACGCAGTGCCATCTGGTGTGTGCCGGGGACCGCAGGAGGACGCGGACGTGCAGTACCACCACTAGTGCGAGCAGCACGAACAGGTGACGCGGGACGAGACGCAGGCTCACGACCCTCAGCAAGACCTCCAGTAGGACCAATGTAGGGAGAAGGAACAGATAGAGGGAAGGCATGCGGTAACTGTGACTGCGACTGGACAGGCGGTGGACACTCTAGGGGAGGAGCAGGAACTGTAGAGGGCGGGAGACCAAGAACCTGCTCCAGGGCGGAATGAAGTACAGCCTCGGCCGCTCAGCCCCTCCAGAACCTGCAAGTACGGCACCAGTACCCCCAGCGGCAGCACTAGCGCCCGTAGAACCTCCAGCTCTAACAGCGCCAACTCCAGTACCCTTAGAAGCACCACTGCTAGCAGCACCGTCAGCCCCAACACCCCCAGCAGCTCCAGCTCCAGCAGCACCAACTCCAGTAGGACCGTCAGCACCAGCTGCCTCAGCAACACCCCCAGACGCACCAGCACCAGTAGAAACACCAGCGCCAACACCCCCAGCAGCTCCAGCTCCAGCAGCACCAACTTCAGTAGGACCGTCAGCACCAGCTGCCTCAACAGCACCCCCAGACGCACCAGCACCAGTAGAAACACCAGCGCCAACACCACCAGCAGCTCCAGCAGTACCCCCAGACTCAGCAGCACGTCTCAAGCGGCGGGCGAACCACACGCGCAGCTCCTGTGGAGAGAGCGGCTCCCGCCTCGACGAAGTACCGCCGGCGGCCACACGAGCAGACCCAGCACCCCCAGGCTCCGCACCCCCAGGCTCAGCACCCCCAGGCTCAGCACCACCAGTCTCAACACCCCCAGACTCAGCACCCCTAGACCCGGCACCCGCAGACCCGGCACCCGCAGGCTCAGCACCTCTAGCAGCACCAGAGTCAACAGCTACCTCGACAGGCTCGACTGCGTCTACATGGGACACACCTGAAGGGGCAGGACCCTGTGGAGGGAGGGGGTCTACCTGGGTAGTACCTGGCGCAAGGAAGAGCGGCGGCGGGGGTAGGGGCGCAGTGCGGTAGGGGAAGAGACGATAGTAAGGCACCGACTCGTCAAAGGTGACGTCCTGGGAGGACAGAACACGGCGCGTGGTGGGGTGGTAAAACTGCTAGACAGGCGCGTCAGGGGGGAAGCCAAGGAAGACGCAAGGAACAGCACGGGGGGACAGCTTGTCCGCAGACAAGTCGCGGACAAACGCCCGAGATCCCCAGACCCAAAACGCAGACGCATCGCCAACCTTCCCTGTCCACCGCAAGGCGGGGGAGGTCTCTTGGAAGGAGACCCGGGGCTGAAGGTTGAGCTGATGCGCGGCGTACTGAACCGCAAACGGCCACAGAAAATGGGGGGCAGCCGCATGCATCATGGACGTACGCGCGACGTCCATGACCATGCCAATGCGGCGCTCAGCAATCCCATTTTGCTGTGGAGAGGCCGGAAGCGTGAAGGTCTGGCGGATGCCCTGTGCCCGACAGAAGGCTCCCAGACGGGCAGAGGAAAACTCCCCTCCTCTGTCCGAGTGCAGACGCAGAACAGGAAAGTCCGAGCCGGAACTCTCTCTGAGCTGGAGACGAGCTGCGCGGATCCAGTCGATCAACACCTCACTGACGTCACCCTTGCTGCGCAAGGGGAAGACTGTGGTGTAACGCGAGTAGTCGTCAACGACCAGCAGAAAGTACCGCTCTCTCCCCTGCCCAATGACGCGGGCTGGGCCCAACACATCCATGTGTAGAGTCTGCAGCGGAGCCTCTGTCGGAGGAAACTCGGAGGAGTGAGGGGCAGCGCGCTGTCGCCCCTCGACGCAGGGGACGCAGGTAGGGCCAGGCCCCGGAGGAAGGGGAGGGAGAGACCGAGGAAGACCAGAGACAAGGACACGGGAGGCCATGCCTCGGAGACGAGGCAAGGAGGGGTGACCAAGGCGGTGGTGCCAAAGGAGAGTCTGGTGGGACATGAGACGACACGAGCAGGGGGCAGACTCAGGACCAGACCTGGACGCCGCAGCAAACACCTGACTCGACGCAGCTACCTGGGCAGATTAGCAGTAGGAGGAGACTCAGCAGTAAGGGTGTACAGGCTCGACCCTGGCCGACGGGTGAACGTGGCCAAGTGTCGGCCTGTCCGAGCGCACCTGCAGTGGGTCACTCGCTGACTCGCAGGAGTGAACTGGTCAACCCCTCGATCCTGTAGGTCCGCTCCACTCACCAAGTTCGTAGAGAACGAGGGGAGGTAGAGACCTGACAGGGTGCCAGAGGGGGCTGCAGGGCACGGAAGGATAGTGGAGAAGCTAGCAAGGACAGGACCCCCAGAGGGGTCTGCCAGGGAGACTGCAACCGGCCGACTAAGCGGCGTAAGAGTGGTGCGGTCTCGAAAGAAGGAGCGGGACGCACCCGAGTCCAGGGTGAAGGTGTGGAAGGCCTGAGCCGACGTAGTACCTGAGAGAGCAGACTCACCAACACCTGGGGCGGCAGACGCACTTGCACCTGGGGCAGCAGACGCACTAGCACCTAGAGCAGCAGTCTCACCAGCACCTACCGCAGCAGCCTCAATGCCCGGGTCAGGCGGTACACACAGGTAACAGGCACCCTCAACACTATCAGCAACAGCATACATGGCAGCAAGAATAGCATCAAAGTCAAGATCAAAGATAGCAACCCCGGCCTTAGCGAGATCTCCCCAGCGAGATCTCCCCAGCGAGGGATCTCTGACGCCTCAGGGAACTGGCGACGCCACGCGTCCGTCAGGCGACCAAAGCAGCGCTGGGTGGAGTGCGTACCTCCGCACTGCTCACCAATGCGGTCGCCGGTACGGAGAACGTAAGAGCAGGGACCAGTACCCCCACCGCGCTGGCGTGCAGTGTACCACTCACGAAGCTGCTGAGGGGACAGGGTCACACCACTCCGCTGCTGCTGCTGGCGGTGACCACCACCGGCGCCACTCCTCGGCGCAGAGTCGCGACTCGCTCCACCACCACCGCCTCCGCCGCCGCCGCCGCCTCCGCCGCCTCCGCCGCCTCCTCCACCTCTGCCTCCTCCACTATCTCCGCCGCCTCCGCTCCCTCCGCCACCTCCACCGCCTCCGCCGCCTCCACTGCTGCCGCCGCCGCCGCCACCCCCAGCACCACTCCCACCACCACCCCCACTCCCTCCACCGCCTCCACCACCACCTCCACCGCCCCCTCCACCCCCTCCAGTGCCCTTGCCCCCCTTGCCCTTGCCGGTGGGGCGTCTCCCGCTCGGGGCAGACGCAGCGCCGACCGACTCGAAACCAACGAGGTCGGCCGCAGCAGCAGAGGCAACAGAGGGCAAGAGGGGGGAGGGAGAACACCCCTCAAAGACGGGGGTGCGAGAGTCACCACGAGAGGCTCCTACAGCGACTATGCTCTTCTCTATCGCTAGGAGGGCCTTCTCGAGGAGGTCAACGGTGAGAGTGGTGGGGCAAACTGAGAGGAAGTGGTCCCTCACTACACGGAGAGAGTCAGGGAGACGGGTGACTATGTAGTAGAGGGTGATGTACATGGGGGGGGGGGTTCTTGGCGCAGAACTCAGCAGGAAGCGCAGCGCGGTAGCGAGTGTCACTAGTGCGGAGGTGCGTAATGAGGTCAGCGACAGTGGGAAAGGCAGCAAGGTCAGGGAAGAGGTACGGTAGCATGAGGCGGCTCAGTGCAGCAGTGGCAGGGAAAGAGTAGCGTGCAACTACAGCGTCGTACAAGGTCTGAGCACTCTTGTACTGGCTAAAGTGTGCACGCTCAGTGGTCGGTAAGTGGCGGCGCACAGCAAGGCGAGCAGCAGCGTCACGTGTGGCCCACTGTGAGCGAACAGTGGCGTCAGCATCAGCAGCAGGGGTAGGGGAGGCACCAGAAGTGAGGTCAAACAGGGAGAGGCCGTCTGCCCTATCGCACTGCAGGAAAAGCTGCAGATCATCTACCCAGACCTCAAAGTCCACTGCCCGACCCTCAGCGTCAAAGGTGAGAACGCTAGGGGAAGCCATAACAGCAGTAGGCAGGGCAGTGCAGTGCCAGAGGTTGTGCTCTTACCAGGTAGGTGGAGCGATCGGGCTGCTCGGCGGCTCGACTGTCGGGCGGCTCGGCTGCAGGGCGGCTCGGCTGCTGGGCGGCTCGGCTGCGAGGCGGCTCGGCTGCTGGGCGGCTCGGCTGCACGGTGCTGGGCGGCAGCGGGGCCTAAGCGGGGCCGACAGGGCCGAAGCGAGGCCTGAGCGGGGCCGCGACGGGGCCGACGGGGCCTAAGCGGGGCCTAAGCGGGGCCGACGGGGCCGACGGGGCCGTAGCGGGGCCGTAGCGGGGCTGTAGTGGGGCCTAAGCGGGGCCGACGAGGCCGTAGCGGGGCCTAAGCGGGGCCGACGGGGCCGACGGGGCCGTAGCGGGGCCGTAGCGGGGCCGTAGCGGGGCCTAAGCGGGGCCGACGGGGCCGTAGCGGGGCCTAAGCGGGGCCGTAGCGGGGCCGTAGCGGGGCCGTAGCGGGGCCTAAGCGGGGCCGTAGCGGGGCCGTAGTGGGGCCGTAGCGGGGCCTAAGCGGGGCCGTAACGGGGCCGTAGCGGGGCCGTAGCGGGGCCTAAGCGGGGCCGACGGGGCCGTAGCGGGGCCGTAGCGGGGCCGTAGCGGGGCCGTAGCGGGGCGGACGGGGCCGTAGCGGGGCCGTAGCGGCCTAAGCGAGGCCGTAGAGGGCGGCTCGAGGGGCAGTAAGGGCGGCCAATAGGGGCCACTAAGGCGGCTCGAGGTGCTACTCGGGTTAGGAGCTAAGCGCGCTCCGGGCAGGAAAAAAAAAGTTCGTGGTGGGCCCTAGGCAGTATTCCCACTCGGGAACCTGCTCGATACCATGACGAGAAGTGAGAATGGAATGAATGAACTATGAAACAGTTGGGTACAAGTACTAACCCTAATTGGGTTGTACCCCTTATGGGCTACCCCACTACAGCCTACACAAATGTATAAGCTATAATGTTCTGACAGTCGGGGCGGCAGGTAACGGCTGCGAAGAGAAGGCATCCTAGCTTTCTCTGGTAGTCGCGTATCCCGGCAGATTTGAGTAGAGTGGATCCTTCCTCGTGGTTTCCTATCGCGTAGCGGTAGGGCGTAGAGATGGTGGTAGGCGTGAGCGTGAAGCGTTTGGCGATGGTGTCGGCGTACTTAGTGGCGTTGAGGTAGATCGCATCTTCTTCCTCTCGAATGTTCAAGCCGAGGTACTGTGTGACGGTAGAGGAGACCGTGAGTGTGAGGTCCCTCTGTAACTCCCCTTCGAACCAGGTGGTGATGTCGTCAGTGGAGCCGATGTAGAGTAGGTCGTCTACGTAGACGATCAGCAGGATGTAGTTGGTACCCTTCATGAGTCGGTACATTCCTTGGTCGTGAGGTAGTTGGCGGAATCCGATGCGAATGAGGCGAGCGTGTAGGTACTGTTGCCATAGCCGTGGGGCTTGTTTGATTCCGTAGAGCGATTTCAGCAGCTGGCAAACCTGGTTGGGCTCTCCGTTAGTACCGTGCGGTAGTTCCACGAAGATCTCTGCGTCGACAGGTGCGTAGAGGAACGCGTTGGCGACATCGATTTGCCGTAGCTTCCTTTTCTTCATCGCGGCGATCGCGAGGAGGATTCGAAGTGAGGTATGTCGGCTAACCAGGGTGAATGTCTCGGTGAAGTCCCGTCCGTGCTCCTGATCGAATCCACGCACAACCCAGCGTGCTTTGAACTTCTCAATTGTGCCGTCTGCTTTTGTTTTAACGCGGAAGACCCATTTCCCGGTGAGAATGGTCTTGTTCCTTGCCACGTTGATGGGGACAACTTTCCAGGTGTTCCGTTCCTCCAGCGATGTTCCGTTCCGTTCCGACAGCTTTTAACTCTCTGTCCATGGCTTCACGCCATTTTTCCCTGTGTTCCCCCCCCAGAGCCTGCTGAACCGTCGCAGGCTCCTTCGGAAGGGTGTTGCCGTGGACTGCGGTGACGAGGCCGAGTATCTGCAGTCCAGTCTGTGAGTGGCGGGGAAGAGTTGCATCCTCGGGATAAGCTGCTTCATCTCCCGATTCTGGATCAGGTATGAAATTCGGTCCTACTCGTTCTGCTTTGTTGGTGTTGACTGTCGCAGGTGTTACGTAACCGTTGTCGGCAAAGTAGTAGAAGGTTTCGGCGTTGACACTTTCGCGAGGGTTGTCTTCGTCCATGGGAACGTCGACGGAGCAGAACGGGAGAGGTCCGGCTTCTTCTGACGCGTTGTCCACATTCTGCTCGTCCCAGTCAGCTTCGTCTTCTGCGGAGGCGAAGGCTCGGTCACCACGAAAACCATATGTGGGATCTTGGTCCTCTTGCAGGTTGGCAAGGTACGTCTGGAGCGTGAGTCGTTCGTAGAAAATGACGTCACGTGCTGCTACTGTTTCCTTGGAGTGGACGTCGAAGATTTTCCACGCGTTGTAATTCTTTTCGATGCCGAGGTGTAGTCCCCATTGTGCGCGTTGTGAAAATCGGCCCGCTCGTGCTGCTGGGGGTCGATACTGTACCATGCATCCGAACACTCGTAACATTTCTGTGCTGCCCTGTTTCCCTGTCCACATCAGATGCGGTGATGCATTGTTCGGAAGTGACGATGACGACAGCAAGTTGTGCAGCATGACAGCGTGGTCCATTGCTGCAGGCCACTGGTGGTTGGGTAGCCGCATGCCACGTAACAGTTTGCGCATGCTGTTCTGCAGAGTCCAGTTCATTCTTTCTGCTACACCTTGCTACTGATGGGCGTAGGGAAGAGAGAGGAGCTGCTTGATCCCCCTTTCCGCCAGGTACTGCTTGAATCGCTGAGAGGTGTATTCTCCTCCTCCGTCTGACTGGAAGCTTTTCAGCTTTACGCCCGACTCTCTCTCTGCTACTGGTAGCCAAGCAACGAATGCTTCAAGGACCATGTCACGGCTGGGTAGGTTTAGGTGCCAGACGTAACGGGTGGCGGCGTCGATGAAGGTGATTGTGTAGTTGTAGATTACTTGTCCTGGTTCCCGATTGTACAGGATGTCGCTATACACCTTTTCGAGTGGTGCGTACGCGGGTGCGCTCGGGTTGTGACGAGGGGCGAACGGCCGATGTGGTAAGTCGGCTTCGGGGCAGGTAAGGCATGTTCCTCATGCCCGTTGGAGTTCTCTGCCGTCGAGTAGTAGTAACGAGTCCTTGTCAAGGACTCCTGCTCTTATCGTGTTGTTTAACACAGTGTTGCTTGGGTGTCACATCCTTGCGTGCCAGGTGCTTTTGTCGGCGCGATGTCCGGGTGATCGTCGGTACATATCGGAGTTGGAATAGAAGCTGGTGGTGAAGTTTGCGCTACGATGAACTTCTCGTGGTGCTGGGTGGAGCCGTTGTGCTGGTGTTGGTGGTGTTTCGTCAACGAGGACTGGTGTCGTTGTTCCTGCTACTGCCGATGATGTCTCTGCTGCTGCCGATGATGTCTCTGCTGGTGCCGATGTTGTCTCTGCTGCTGCCAATGTTGTCTCTGCTGCTGCCGAATGTTGTATTGTTACTAACGCGCGTGTTCGTTCTGCTTCAGAAATGGTATGTGAATACCAAAAGCCTTCCGGACTGAAGTCTGGATCAAGGTCTGGAGGATGTGTCCAGTCGGTGAAGTTAACGATGGCGTCGCTGTCGGCGGTGCCAAGGTCAGAGACAAAATCGAGGACGAAGACGTTGTTCTTGAGGACCGCCTTGCCGATGTAGAGACCTCCTCTCCCGTGATAAAACTTGAATTCTTGGGTGGTGTTGTCTGCTTCGAGATGTATGCCTTTCGCCATCAGCTGACTGACGCTCAGTAAGTTGTAGCCGAGTCCCTCCGCGATTAGTACTTTTGACATCTGTAGTATAACATTTTTTTCTCGTGACTGAAGTTGCACAATCCCTTGTCGTCGTGTGCGCAGGTTCTGGTTATTGGCAACTGTGATGACGACCTCTCGTTGAAGTCGGTGCTCGCGTTGAACGAAGCGTCCCGAGGAGCACATGTGCCGTCCGCAGCAACTGTCCAAGAACCATGTGTCTTTCCCGGACGGTTCGCTTTGAGCGATGGCGGCGTACGTCGGGTTCGGTTGAAGTGACTCGCGGCGAGGCGTGCTGTTGTCGAGTTGTTCTTCTGGTGAGTAATATGGTGGTGACTCAGTTACGCAGGAGTCGCTCAGCCTTGCCATGCAGCTGATGATGTTTCTTGTTTCTTTCGCAGGTTGTCCCGTCGATGTTGTTGAGACTTGTACCGAAGTTATCGGATTTTCTTGCGTTGAGGCGACTTGACTGCTTGAAGGGCGAAGTTGGCGTTGTGGCGACGTTGACTGTTGTCGATTCGGGCAGTGCGTACGAGGATGCCCTGAAGTCTTGCAGAGGTGGCAGAACGGAGATACGATTTTCGGTCAACTATTGTTGTTGTTGTGGCGTCGTTGAGTGTGAAACGCGAATTCGGGTACTGATACCTTTCTCTTGTGTCGTTCTTCTTGCATGTCCATGTCTTGCTGCTCAGCATGGATTTCGGCGCAGAGTGCTGCTTCGGAGATTCTCCCGTGTGCTCGTAGTATGGCGCGAGTAGAGCGCCAGTGAGGACCAAGACCGCCGATGACAACCGTGACGAAGGCGTCTTCTGAAATCGATCCTCCACATCAAAGAAGCTTGTCGCGCAGCTCGCGGCAGCGACTGATATATGCCATTCCCTTCTCGCCTGGTTTCATTTCGATTGTTGTCAGCTGTGCCATTAACCAACTTTGGTTTACGATGTCTGTTGCTTGATACAGGTTCTTCAAGTGATTGTACGCGAGCTCCGCGGAGTTGCCATAACCTCGGTAAGTTCTTATGTTCTGCTGTTGAGTCGGGGTGATATTCCTCGGTAGTATCGTGTACGCCATCATCGATTGATAGGTGTACTGCTGCTTCTCATACTGTGTGCCGTTTGTTGGGCATGGCAGGGACCCGTCGAAGTGTTGAAATGAACGAACAGGAATGATTGAACTAACAGTGAAATCAGTACAAGTA